TCCTCTATCAACCCTCTTTATTCCAGATTGGTTCAGTATTTACATGCTGATGTAGCGAAACATAACCCAAACCAATATTACAATAACGTAAATTTTTATTCAAGGGGAACCCCGTACACAAAACGCTCCTCTTGATAGAGCAAATCTGTTCAGCACATTCTGACAGACAGACCACCACCTGTCATGTTGCTGTACAGGACATTTTTAGAGTTTTTCTTTTTAAAGATAAATAGTATTACATTTAAAGAGCAATACTTTCACATTATCGTTTTCTCACACTTTCTGTATACCTGTATTTTGTTGTTTTTCAATAAAGATTGACAACTTATTTGGGTTTGTTTGCACACAAATATCTATTTGTAAAATAATATTACAAATATCTACAAAGCTAATATTTACATAACAAGTATGATTGGGTTTTGCAATACGGCAGCCTCTATGGTTTATTTTAGTAAGATTTTTAAACCAAGTAAAGTTTTGTAACAGTAAAGTCTTCCCACCTGGAAGTCTTTCACTGCTTTTGGAGCTGGCCATTAAGACAACTGGCAATATTAGTTAAAAAAATATAATTTCCCCTATTTGTGAAATGAACTTTGTCTGACAAAAATGTCCCTGGACCGTCATGTCTGATGTGAGGATGCACAACAACTGCACCATTTAAGCTAGAAATAAATGTAGCCATAACACTGTTCACAAACCTCCTGGCCTTCTCAATTTTAGCAGATTTTACACCTGCCCTCCATCTACAGCTTTGGGTGATGGACGACATGATGATCATCATATGAGGGTGTAGAAGGTGAAGCCGGTGCAGGTCCTCCTTCATCATGTTCACCAGCTTCACACTGCTGACCACCCCCATGTCATTGCCGCCACAGTGGATGAGAAGGACATCAGGAGCTGCTCTTCCTCGCAGGGAGTGGAAAAAGAAGGGGAGAAGGTCTTTCCACCTCAGTCCGCCCCAACCGAACCAGGAGACATGGACATCAGGGAGGCCAAGGTTGTCTCCGAGGGTCTCTGCAGCTCTCTGGGCACCGCGCCTTACGTAGCTGTCTCCAATGATCCAAATAGCTATGGAGAAAAAAATAACAGGTTTGGCCTAGCTGTTTAAAGTATAAAACCATTCATGAAGTGGTCAAGACAGGTACTTGGTACTTACACTTGCTGCGTTGTGTAGCTGATGTTGGAGACACACAGGCTGCCATGGTGACCTTTTAACAGATCTAAGAAAAAAATGTAATAAAAGAATGAAACTTAAAAACTCCCAGACCTCATTTCATGATTGCTAATCAGCTATGGCTGATTTATTGTTTGGATCACAGTGAGTTACACTAATTCTAATATATTTTTATTTCTATTATACATACATACTTTTTAACTCTTATTTTCACATGACTGCTATCAGGCTGTCTTGTTCTGGTTCTCATGATAATAATTCTGTGTCTTCCAGTAAGTTATCTTGTGCTTACTTCATCTGTATAATGTCTCTTTACTTTTGGTGAATTGTACTGAGTCCAGAATAAAGGCTAGTTGGCTGTACAAGATACAAACAAGTATTACGTTTTGGAAATATATGAAATGTATTTAGCCTGCTAATTCATCTCAAATACTAATAACTATCGTATTTTCCGGACTATAAGTCGCACTATTTTCGTAGTCTGGCCAGTCCTGCGACTCATACTCCGGAGCGACTTATAAACCAAATTATGTAGGCAATACCGCGCTGCTGCGGGCCGGCTCTGGACAATGAGCTCCCCTGCCCCGCTGGGAATAAATAACACACAGCCATCACCTGCTGGAGCCTGTTGCACGCCGTTGCGCATCTGATCCGGCCCAGGTTTCAGCTCCTCTGCCCCACCATCACCTGCTGCAGCCTGTGGTGCGCTACCCAGGAATGAGCTCCTCTGTCCCGCTGGGAGGGTTTCAAACACCGCCATCTTCTGCTGGAGACCGCGGCGCGCTGCTGCGCCACGTTGTTTATTCTGTTATTGTTACCGGTACCTGTCTTGCAATGTGAAATGCTTGGTCTCAGATTTTGTAAGAAAAATAATAAAATTTCCCCCCAAAATGCGACTTATAGTCCAGTGCGACTTATATATGTTTTTTTCTTCTTCATTATACATTTTATGGCTGGTGCGACTTATACTCCGGAGTGACTTATAGTCCGGAAAATGCGGTACGATAAAAATATTGAAAACTTGCTCAAAGCAAAAATATATTTTCATTAAGGAAATTACTTAAAAACTTACCGATTTAATACTTTTTTTATTCACAGAAAGATAGTTTTCATAAGAAAGTGCTGCAAACCTCCACACAAACTCCGTGTGAGCTTCAGGTCGCTGGTGTTTTCCACAGATTTAGCTCTGGTTGTAGCTAGGTAGCTACCTCCATTAGCTTAGCTCCCACCTCTGCGTTAGCTTTGGGTTAGCTTCAGGTTAGCTTGTAGCTAGTTTGACCGGGTGTCGTCATTTGATCCCAGCCTTACAGCCCCACCCTCAGCTCCACCTCTCTTCCCTTTTGTGGAATTGTCTGGGCTTGACGGAACCTGTGACACGGTCAAAATGGCGGTGGTGACCACCTCCCATTTTTCCTCAAAAACGTGTTATTGGAGCCTATGGAAACCCATTGTCCATATATACATATATATACACAGAATAAAAATATAAACGCAACACTTTTGTTTTTGCTCGCATTTTTCATGGACTTAAAGATCTAAAATTCATTCCAGTTACACAATATCACCATTTCTCTCAAACATTGTTCACAAATCAGTCTAAATGTGTGATAGTGAGCACCTGTGCTTTGCTGAAATAATCCATCCCACCTCACAGGTGTGCCACATCAAGATGCTGATCTGACATCGTGAGTAGTGCACAGGTGTACCTTAGACTGCCTACAATAAAAGGCCACCCTGGAATGTGTAGGGAGGCATTTTATATAATCTTCATAATCACGTTAAAAGTAAGAATACTTTTAATAATTAATATAATTTGCAGTCAATGTTTCAGCCAACTTTGTGACCAGGAAGATAATTTTGAGACAGATAGCATTCTAAAATATTCTAATATTCCATATCTGATCAGAAATTCTAGATTTTGTCCAATAACTTTCAAAAATATTTAACAGTAATCCATTTTTATATAAAATATAATATATTGTATGATGATTGTGATATATTCTGTAATATTTTACAATGAAATAATGTTCTAAAGTGTCTTACAATTATTTAAATGATTCTAATTTAATATTTATTTATTTCATTGGTGTTTTTTTTAATTTTGGGATTTCTTTTACTAGAACAGGGCCAGCGTCCATATTTGAGCATTTCGTTTTCTGTAATTTTCTGCATAAAAATAATTTATTTAAAAATTTTAACAACAGAAATAAACTTTTAAATTCCACAATAACACCTCGGGGTATTTAAATGAGTGCCCTATAAAGGGTGGAATCAACATTTAGAATCAACAAACTGTATTCAGCCCATGGAGTCCACGCCACTGTTTGGAGATAAAGTGAGCAGCTCCTGGATCCTCTGCATGTTTTTACTGGTTCCTTCTGAATGGGAGCTGATGTCCACACAGGTTATTCACTCAACAGTCATCTACAGTCAGGTCGTCCTCATAGCACGAAGACAAGTAATTTTTAAATCAACATGTTTAGGTTCTACATGGACTTTTTCAGATACTTACGACCTGGAATTTGTCCTTGAAGGAAACTGGATTTTATTGTGAAAAAAGAAGCAATTATCTGGATTGTGCAAATGTTTTTCTTGTTGTTGACACCTTTAGTCAGGCAGCTCTCCAGGTTTTCTGACTGAACGCTAGGATTTAATTGGACTAAAAAACAGAATTCATCCTCAAGTTTGTCACTACTTAATTAACCTGGTACATTTTCCTCTGATCAATATGCTAATTTTATGTTTCATTTTCTTAATTAACACAGTGGCGCCCCCAAAGGGGGCCAGGAGTGACCATAGAACCCCCCCCCAGAAGACCAGTGCTTATAATTCATATTAACATTAACTCCAACCATACATTCATAAAACCCAATGAAAGTAAAGAAAAATCTTAATAAAAATATACATGTTTCTGCTGCTAACCATTTAAATCACTCCTCACCCCTGCCACATGGACCTCAAGGGATAAACCATCAACCGTTTAAATAAAGTTTACATGGTTTACATGTTTTTTAATAGAAAAATGGAAAAACAAAAGAGAATAATGGATAATTATTTATTACTGCATATGCAGTCTGGGATAAATAATTGAACCAAATATCTGTTACAAAGGTTGATTCATTTCGTAGTAAAAGTCATCGGTTCAAAAAAACTGCAAAAACTACAAATGATAAAGACCCCATTAGAGTTCTACAACCCCCAAAACACTTTACAGCACATCAGGCCTTCACTCATGCATGCACACATTCACAGGCTAGTGGTGATGCTACACTGTAGCCACAGCTGCCGTACATGGGCAGTCCCGCTGACCGCCACCAGCAGGCAAGGAGGGTGAAGATGTACAGACTTTAGTTATGCTCTACCAGTTGGTTGAGCAGGCAGGCAAAGGGGTAATTACATTTTTGAACTCCAGCAGCCTCCACAGTCACCAGATCTTAGTCCAGTCCAGAACCTTATATTAAAATATCCCTTCAGCAGGTCAATATAGAAATTATCGACTCTTTTATTTCTCTTCTGAAATATTGAATTTCAAGGATACATTGTTCGTACAGTTTTCTTAGAGCAAATACAGATCAGAATAATCTAAACCAGAACAGGCTGAAGCTGGTAAAGTTGGTGGCAATGGAATTTTGGAAAAAAGAAAAGAGAGAATTACCTAGTTTACCTTACAAACTAATCCATGTTGCGACAGAGTTTTGAGTTTTTGTTTGATTAAAAAATAAAATAAAATGAAAGAAAAGAAAAGATTATCCATGTTTTTGTAGTACTCCTTTTGGACTCCAGATGGCAGCACTACATTAGTGGCGTCATGATTGCCTCGAATTCGATAATTAACAACGGTTGTACTTCCGGTTAGGTCAAAGTTTCTCAGCTAGTAGGAAAATAAGCTGTCATCCTGCTAGTTTAAAGAAAAGGATACATTTTTCTGTTAGCATGGATGTAAACCAGACCAAACAGGAGCACCTGCTCGCTTTAAAAGGTATTTAGTGTTCTTCAGCTCCCCTGTTGTCTCCCCAGAGGAGGTTTAGTGGTAGTAAAGACCAGGCTGTGGTTAATGCTAACAGCGCTAACTGCTAGCCACAGTTATATATCTGTGTAGAAACACAAGTTTGGGTTACCTTGTGACTGTTCAGAGTACACTGTTTTTAAAACGAAGAGACTGAAGATAAATGCCGTATCAATAAACTTTTGATGTTTTAACAGTTCTGGTTAAGAATTAGCTTAAACCTTTCTGGTTCCTGATGAGTGAAACAGAAGGGATTTTAATGTAAATTACGACTTTAGTTATTATTTAATGTGTTTGTGCTCGTTTTATATGTGCAATACAGTTAAATCCTGACACCCTACATAATATGCCAGGACATTATTGGTTTATTTTGTTGCTGATGGTTAGATTGAATATTGCATCTAATATGTGTCTTTGTCTGATTACATGCAAATATTTACCGGTATCACCTAATATGCGTTTGTATGAGATTTAATGTGTCTTAACTATAATAGTGAGTTATTGTTGACTTCCAAGCGTTCCTTTCCCTGTTTTGACACCTCCAGGGGTTAAGTTGTGGCGTTTTAACTTTTTAAAGTGTCGAGAAAATCTATCAAATGATGGGATAGAAGTTTAAAAAAGGTATTTTCCTCCGGTGTTGTGGCAATTAAATGGCACGAGTCAGAGGTCTCTTGTCCAGACAAGACCTAGAGAAACTCATTCATGCGTTCATCTCGAGCAGGCTGGTCTATTGCAGTGGTCTTCTAACTGGTCTTCCCAAAAAAGCTGTGAAGCAACTGCAGGTTATTCAGAATGTTGTTGCTAGCGTCTTAACAAGAACCACAAGAAACAAGCACATCACTCCTGTTCATAAATCTCTATGCTGGTAACCAGTAAACTACAGAATCGATTTCAAAGTACTTTTACTAGTTTATAAATCACTCAATGGCATGGGACCAGAATATGTCGGACCTCCTTCCTGTATATACGCCCGGCAGGGCTCTGAGATCCTTAGGAAGTAGTCAGCTGGTAGCACTGCGGGTCAGAACCAAACAGGGTGAAGCTGCTTTTAGCTACTATGCTGCACACAGATGGAATCGGCTTCCTCATGACCTCAAATGTGCCCCAAATCTAGCAACGTTACGTTTAAATCAAAATTGAACATTTCCATATATTCTTCAGCCTTTGAATGACTGTTTCTTATACTGCACCTTCTGCTCTGTATCTGCTCAACCTTTAACTTTGCCTTTTTCTTTTTAATTTTGAAATCCTAAAGGAGACATGTCACGCTTTTAAGTTCTTCCGTTTTGAACCTAAATAATTTAGTTGTGGTCCAAATTAGGGCTGCATGATATTAAGCAAACCTGCGATAACAGTGATTAATATTGCGATGACGATATTACTTGCGATAAATTAAAACTTAACTCAGGAACAAAAATGATCAAAAACAAATAAATAAAAATACGACAAAAAAAATCATAAAAATACGAAAAGCAAAAGATGTGAGGAAAGGGAAAAAGAAAATGAAGAAGAAAAGGCGATCAGTGGAAAGAGCAGAACAAAGCTAACTCAGGTGCTTGCTAACCATCAAAATTAAGTACCGTCCGCCTCGGGAGCGGACATCTAACCTATGAGAACCCACCCAGTTGGCCAAATGGGTGAAGAGCTCTATTTGATTTGTTCAAAAAAACAGAATGCATTATGTGTAGCAAACATTTGAGCTGACCATTCATCGCGATATTTATCTGTTCTTTGGGATATGCATATTGCGCATGCTGATATCGCGATAACGATAAATTTGTGATATATTGTGCAGCCCAAGTCCAAATATACCAGAACAGCAGTTCTTGGGTCTGATTTCCTCATTGTTGCTCTATAGACCCCTCCTCTACCCCTGTTCTGAGGAGAGTCTGAACATGAGCCATTTTGGTTCTGTCTCTTTAAATCTCTTCTTCCACCCGAGTCGGACATTTTATTAGTTTTATAGAGAAATTGTTATTAGCATAGCAGAAACTGTAGATTTGTATGTTTAACCATGTGGGGAGATTTGTCCACCCAGATGTGTCTCAGGGCTGCCAACTCTCATGCATTAAGAGTGAGACGGACGCAAGTGAGGGGCAGTTCAGAGAGGCATGCAGAAAGTGACGTTGCGGACCTTAAAACTCCGGTTTTGTCCGTCCACACGCAGACACCCAAAACGGAGAAAACGCAGATCTTCACTTTGGCCAGAGTTTTTAAAAAGATCCGTTTTTGTGTGAAAAAACTCCGTTTTTGTGTGGATGACAGGCCAAAACGTAGAAAAATATCTACGTTTTGGCAGATCCCCGGCTACATGTGGACAGGGCCTAATTATCACCTAAAGTGACTAATTTAATTCTTTTTGCACACCAGGAGACTTAAACTTCACAACAAAGACTAAAAAAGTGAGATGTCTCCTTTAACTGCTTCAAATTGTGCTGTCACATTGATTTTAATATGCTTGCTAACTGGAAAGCACATTGAATTGCCTCTTTGTTTGAAATGTGCCATATAAATAAAACTGCCTTGCCTTGACTTTAGTTCGTTTTAGGACTTGACCTGAATGGATGAGTGGAATGCCTTTTCTTTTTCATCTAAGTTTTATTAATAATTTTGGACGAAACTACAAAAAATAGAAATGTCTAAACTAAGTCTTTAGTTGTAATATTTTAGATCATTTTATAAAATTTGCATAGCATCTGGGCAAATGCACGAGGTGATGTCCTATAACAACTAACTCTTTTGTGTCAGTAACAAACGGTGCTTTACTTCACAGTGATGAGGCTGACAAAACCCACTCTCTTCACAAACCTGCCGGTGACGTGTGAAGATCGAGATCTGCCAGGTGAGCCTGATTACAAAACACTCCACATGATCAGAACTAGATGTTTTCCAGGCCTGCAGCAGAACTGCGTTTTCACATTTTCATTCCTTTTTACCTGTCCACTATGGTTTTAGCTGAGAGGTGGATAAAAGAAATAAATCCCACGCCAGAATTAGAATATTTTCAATCATTGTTTAACCTCTCTTATAAATATTAGATAGTTTCTGGTGTTATGTTGATGAAAATGGGATGCAAACAGGCCTCTTTTTTTTCTGAAAATGACTTTAATACTGTAGTTTCTACTTAATGTTCTATAATATGGCATTTGTTGTGAACTGGCACCATATTTAGAAACTCAGTTGTGCATTATTGTCAGAAAGAAGGCAGTCTATCCAACTATGAAGTTGTTTATGCTCATCACATTTTCTGTTTAAGAAAACCAAGTTATAATAGGAAAATAATATATATTTTATTAGGGGTGCACCAAAGTTGGCCAAAAACTGAATCACTGAAAGAACTTATGTCAATAACTAGAACCATAGCATTAGGGGGACTCTAAATTTAACCCTTTAAGTGTTAAAGTCTCAATAACGTGTTTAACGAGCCATATCTGCAAATATAAGATGTAAAGTTCTTACTTTTTACCTTTGGCTGCAAATCCTTCCGATTTTCAGCAGCAAATGATTGGAATACTTTACAAAACACCCTGAAACTTGTAACTGTAGCAATTAATATATTTTTAATTATCACCAGTAAGATGTGATATTCCATACAAATATGAAATATTGATCTTTGAATGTTTAATCAGAAGATTCTAGGATTTTTTGCTTGTATAGGGACCATAAACACACTTCGTATTAATTCAGACAGAGTCAGTATATAGTTTATAAAATTAATTTTATTCTTTTTCCTAAACTAGTAATTTATACATGACAAGATATGAATTATAAGATGCGATGTGGTGGATGTGAGGTGTTGTGATGGAAGCTAGATGTTGTAGCAACCGCTCTTTTTATCTGAGAGAAATTGTGAAATCTGGGTGTAAAATAATTTGTTATTGTTTATTACTAGAGCGTTGTTTATTTATAAACCTCATCAGACTCCAGTATGCAGGCTTACGATACCCTTGAATGAGTTGCTCCCGGTGGTCCGGAGGGTTGCGGTCAAAGTGGTGAGGTCACCGGACGTCGAAACCACAATACTCTGAGATTAGTAGCTTCCTCTGAGTTCGGCTTCCCCGGCCATGAGGTGCAACCAGGGCTCTGCAGATTAGGTGTCCAAGGTGGATGTCTGAGAGTTGAAGTAGCTCTGAAAAGAGCTGTTGTGTCTGTAATCACTTGCAGCGAAGCAGAAAGGTTTTGACTTAAGGTCAAAGGAGATGGTTTCAAAAGAGGCTTCTTTCCCGAATTGGCTGAATCGGGGTCAGCTGGAAACTGAATTACTCAGGAAGTAATTCTTGTTTTATTAAACTACTTGTATTTGACACGTTTCTGAGTATTTACCAACATCCCTCAGAAAGCCACACCTTCCTTCAGATACAAAATTCTTAACCTTAATTTGTATCTTACTGTAATGTGTATGAGTGGAAAAAACTAATTAACTTGTTAAATCAAACACACAGAGATTTGTGATATAAATAGATCATTGTAAGAACAATATTCATTTCAAATTAATTGGTTTAAGCACAGATTATTCAAACTTTTGATTTAAACAACTTGTTCATTCATCACATATGATTGTTTAACTTATAACTATAAGGCCATGGAGTCTTCACTTATTCAGAGTGAAGAATGTTGTCTGGCTTCTAAGCAGAGAGTGTAGGACCTTTAGCCTGGCAAGCCAGTCTGGCAATGCTCCATTGACGGCTCTCGGTTGTGGGGCGGGTTCTACCGTTGTCTTTCAAATGATCTCCGCATGCTACTGGACGAGGAATGTGACATACCCACCGCAACAGCTATCGGTAAATGAGGCGGTCCACAGTTGGAGAAGGAGAAAACACATAATTTTTTCTAAAAAAATGCACTTTAAATACATCTATCTGCTCCTGATTGTAATGAAGCCCAAGTTCTAATAGTCCAAAATTGATGTAAAAGCCATTTCTAATGAGCTGTCGCCATCTTGTTTCACTCTGTTGCATCATCCCACCCACCAGGCATATAGAGTGCCCTGATTGGCCCACAAAGCGGATAAAGCTCTGTGATTTGTTCACTAAGCAGATAGAGCACTATGATTGGCCCACCATTATGGACCAATCACAGCTTTTTATGTGTTTGACACCCCTCTAGAGAGCTGTGATTGGCCAGCCAGGATGCTGCTAGGGGCTGCAGAGGTTCCAGTGGAGCGTTCCTAGACCAAACTTTGCAAAGCAAGAATTTGGTCTAGTTCACCAGGCTATAGGACCTTGGGACAGAGTGTCTATTTGAATGTTTTGTCTTCATGGAATGTCAACGCGCGCAGAACCTTCTGGATTTAGAAGGCCACATAGAAAGTGAATTTATTTCTGTAGATGTTGGTCAATATTTAGGTGAAAATTGACCCTTTTGGTATGTTACATAACTCTGACATCAATTGCTACCTTTAAATCTAAATTTGATCAGGTTGTAATTGACTGCCGCTCTTGTTGACAGGGTATCCGCGGGTCCTTAAAAAGTCTTAAATTTGCTTTTCAAAATTTAAGGCCTTAAAAATCCTTAAAAATGACAAATAATCCTTAAATACAGTTTCCTAAAGTCTTAAATTACCAAAGGCCCACTAAACAAGATTCTTTTATTTCTATAAAATTTTCGTGAATCTCTAGTTAGTGTTCAGCATTTTTTGTGTATGATATTGGCGTAAGCAGAACCGTACACATTCAGTTGGTTGTGAAAGGGGGCTATTTTTAGATGATCCCATGTGTGGGAGCTTGTGCCGTGGGGAAGTGCAAGTTTAATGGTAACTGGATGGCTAATCCCACGTTCGCGATGTGGTTAGCACAGGTTAAGTTTAAATTTAATTAAAAAAATAGCTTACATTTGGTCAAAGTGGCCTTGAAAAAGGTCTTAAAAAGTCTTAAATTTGGCTCCCTTAAACCTGCAGACACCCTGTGTTGATCACCAGGATCACACTCATTTATAGACCTACATTAATACACACACTCATTCGACTTTACAGTGTAATGGCTCTTCTGCATACATGTGTATATGTACCCACATTTCTCAATTCCAGACTCAGATTTTTAAAGCCTGCCTACTCTTCTATTTATTATAAATTTATTTGTTGTTATTTGTTTTTATATGCTTAAATGTTTTTATGTCTGTTGTTGTCTTGTACTATTTTCCGAGGCTCTCAGCCAGGTCATGTTTGTAGATAAGTACTTGTTCTCAAACATTTTACCTGGTTAAATAAAGAAAGGAAAAAAAGACGTGTAACTTGAAAATGAGCAAGTTTCTGTTGACATTTTCGGAGTTTGGAGTTTGAAAACTGCCCCTCATCCGGAGGTTCCCGACTGAGGAGAGGAGACGAGCGGAGCTCACAGAGGGGCGAATATTATTAAATATTAGAGGAGAAACTTGCATTACTGACATGTCTGTTCACTGTTGACTAAACTCTTTGTCTGGTAAGAGCAGACTCTGATTCTGAAGAGTAATATTCATCCTCTGATGAAGATTTTCTCTCGTCAAGCGAGGAAGAAAGCAACGCTGCAGCTGCGTGCAGCAACAGTCTGTGTGCTTCGTTAGCCTTCGTAATACAACAGCATTACTAAAAAGGGAAAAAACTTTACTTTTGAAATCCGTACCAATGTACGAATTTTATAAAGCAAAGAGCAAGTTGTCACATGAGGGATGAAACTAAACGGGGTTCGCCCGACGGTCTGTTTCGGCCGAAAACCGAAAATGCACTTTCGGCGGAAAAATTCCGTTGGCTGACTTTTCGGTGCATCCCTAGTTTTTTATGTGAATACATTTTCTGTCTCTGGTTATTCGTTTAGAAATGTAGTAACCGTGCTTGTTCGATTTTTGTAACCATTGGGTGAAGGGCCGCTCGGAGCCATGCACCGATAACCAGACACCACCATAGCCTACATTTCTACTTTTACATGCTGCTATGAATGAAATGCTTTAAAGAAACAAGAAGATCATTTTAATCTTACAAAACAACAAAAAAGAAAGCCAATCTGAAGTGGCGCCACTAAAACGCTCAATGAATGAGATATTTGAAGAGGCTTAGGGGAATAAAAGTGTTGAAGCACTGTGAGCATCCCTTTCAGGCTGATTCATCAATCCTTTTTCTCTCTGGCTGTCTGTGTGCACAGTTTGTTGTTCTATTAGAACCAAGTTTATTTAAGGAGACAATGTGTATTTTTCCCAGTAATCTCTGAAGATATCCATCAAAATGCTGTTAAAAGTTAATAAAATGATGTCCAGTTGCTGAAAAATATTGGCAGCTGTGTACCATAACCATAAAAACCGAATCTAAAGTACATCGGGCTAGGGATGGGTACCTTTGACATTTGAATAGATCCGGTACTAATTCCCAGTACCTACGAATCGATACCGGTACTTAACGGTACCAATTTTCGATACTTTTGAGTGTTTGTTATTTTAATTCTCTTTTATAATTAAATATATATTTTTCTCAATATATAACCATATTTGATAAATATCACAATAAATAACATACAACAGTTTGTATTTTAACATCGTCCTTGTAGTTTTATAAGCTGAATAATTAAACTGAAGCAAACATCTTTACTGTGAACTAAATTTACTGTGTATCTTCATTCCTTTGGCCGTCTTTTTTCATTTGATTTTTCCTACTGGGAAGTTAGAATTTCCGAGGAGAAAGCGAACGCACCATTAGCTGATAACAATGGTGGCAATGGAAGCTAACATATCAAGCTAACGTTATCTTAAACAGTTTATTTAGCTGCTGGAGCAGATTAAAACGATGATGCCTCACACTTAGATCATTGTCGCTGGTTTCATCTTCACCCAATCACCCGTCGCATTTAGTAAAGTGAAGCCAAACTTTAGAGCGCGTTCATGTTCTTCTAGGCGGAAATTCGGAGTTCCGAGGAGAAAGCGAACGCACCATTAGTGAAACGGAAGCTAACAAATCAAGCTAACGTCATCTTAAACATTTTATTTACCTACCGGAGCAGATTAAGATGAGGATGTCTCACTTAGATCGTTGTCGCTGGTTTCATCATCACCCAGTTACCCATCACATTTAGTGAAGTGGACCCAAGCGTTAGCGTGCGTTCTTTCTACCATGCTGCTCTGTTTACAACTCGCTCGCAGCGACCGACGACATAACGCTCTTGCGCATGCGCAGCTGTCTAGGCAAATTCTCGTTATGAAGGACGGGTACCGAAACGAGGCACCGTTTCAAATGACGTGAATCGGTGCTCGGTCGGTACTAAGGAATTTGGTCGGTACCTTAAAAAGTACCGAATTCGGTACCCATTCCTACATCGGGCGCAGGACTAGCGTCTACGGGGGTTGCCATATTTCCTTCTGGCCAGCTCGGGGTCCTACACCTGTTGATGACGTCACACTAGGTGATTGGCTGGACGTATGGAAGTTACGTTACCATGATCAAAAACATTTAGGTTGTGAGAAACACGAATTTAATAACAAAACTGCTAAACTCTTTCCAAAACATATGTGAAAGAACAGAATGGAAAAAGAGACTCCGTATATTTTGGCCGAGCGGTATTGTCGTAGTATGATGACGTCATCGGCCGATGCAGGACCACGAGCAGATCTGGAAACTACGGCGCCACAAAACGACAATCAGCATCCCGTTCTGTCGATGGGATTAACTGAAGAACCATCAACATCTGAGGAGTCACACCGAGGTTACATGCTTTCTGCTCCGCAGGTAACAACGTTTACCGTAATGCTTTTTAAACTAAGGACAGTCGCGTGATATGGTGTACAACTACCCTCACATGTATGTACTGCCCCCTAGTGGCAGGATGCTACATACTGCCATTTTAAAGTCGTTTGTGTTTTCACAGGTGATTTACTCGGTCAGCTCATGAGAGACGACCCCTCCACCATCAAAGGAGCAGAGACGTTGATGCTGGGAGAGATGCTCACGTTACCACAGAACTTTGGGTCAGAACTTTCATTTCTAATGAAGCTCTTTTTATTATTCTAATCTGTTTATAACCTGACGCACTTTTCCGTTTTGCAGAAATATATTTCTAGGTGAGACCTTCTCCAGCTACATAAGTGTACATAACGACAGCAGCCAGGTGGTGAAAGACATTCTCGTTAAGGTAGGAAACGTTTAAACATCGGTTAGATTTATTTTGACCTTCCAGATCATTCCGAGGTGTTTCCATGAACAGGCTGATCTGCAGACGAGCTCACAGAGGCTCAACCTGTCCGCTTCAAACTCTGCAGTGGCGGAGCTCAAACCTGAAAGCTGCATCGATGATGTCATCCACCACGAGGTCAAAGAAATTGGAACACACATGTGAGTGCAGTCAACAGGCCGTTAAACTCGTACTTTCTGGATTCAGACTCGGAGCTTTCCTTTTTCTTTCCGTCTCCCAGCTTGGTCTGTGCTGTCAGCTACACCACTCAGTGCGGGGAAAAGCTCTATTTTCGGAAGTTCTTCAAATTCCAGGTGAGATGTGTTTGAGTCCTCTCGTTGGACGGGATTTTTAGAGGTGACTTGAGAAATGCCTCAGACCTGACCCGGTCCTCGTGTCTCAGACACTTCTCTCTTCTCCAACTTAGTCGGATGTACCTGTATTCCTTTTATTTAGTAGATTTGTGTCTGCTAGTCGGCCGAATGGAAGAACAGGGTCAGAAACCTGCAGCGTTCAGTTTTCAATCTATTCTCAATCAGGTCCTGAAGCCGCTGGACGTGAAGACCAAGTTCTACAACGCAGAGGTACGGAACCCCAAACACACGGCTCGAGTCCGTGCCTAAAGAGCTTTCATGTCGCATTTCCATTAGACTGAAAACCCTTGTGAGTTTTCCAGATGTGTCACAATTTCTGTTAGGTCCATTTGTATGTGTGAATATAGAAGCTGGAGAGCAAGGGTTTCTCCTTTTTCTCATTTTCCACAGAAGCTTTTTTATATCTGACTGCAGATTTTCATTGTCATCAGCGTTTGCATGTAACCTCATTTGTTCATTTTGTTCTGTATTTCATTTTTCTCCATTAGAGCGACCTCAGTTCTGTGGTAATTGTGAACATTAGCTCCTCTTCGTCTGTTGCTCACGGTTTTCTTAAGGAAAGGTGCAAAATGTAAAGAATGGCAGCAAACACCTGAGAGGGCACGTGCAACAACATAAGCTTCCATTTTTTAGATTTGGCTCCTTTTCTGGCATGCTCACGCATTTTCTTGTGGTGTTAGCACACGTTTGTGATGGGCGGGGACTGATTATTCCTAAATATCAGTGGCATAACCGAGAGAAAAAGATGAATTGTGATTGAAAGGATGAAATAATAAGGTGATGTTAGCTTTTGTAATCATGGGACTGAACCAGCAACTAGTCTTGTCCCGCTCATCTGACTATTCATTATGTTTACTTGTGCTGCTGTACCCAAATATTGATTATTTTCAATCTAAATATAATATGCACCTAATTATAGTAGGGTGCTAACTGATCTTTGCTTTCTCTTTATTGCATTTAACGTCACGTGTAGTAGAGGCTGCACAAAGTTACAGTAATGGAGTAAAGTGGATGTTCTCCTGAATGCATCACACAACTGCTTTCTTTATATCAGGCGTGGGGAACCCCGATCCTCGAGGGCTGGTATCCTGCACGTCTTTGCTCCAACGCTTCTGATTCAGCGGTTGATTCACCTGTTCAGCAGCTCATCAGGCTCTGCAGAAACCTGTTAATCATCTGCTGATTGAAATCGGGTGTGATGAAGCAGGGTTGAAACTAAAATATGCTGGATAGTGGCCCTCGATGGACCAGGGTTCCCCACCCATGCTTTAAATGATATTTTTCACCGTCAACGCGTCAAATCCAAAATGTTCGACAGGATTTGTGAGACGTCATTACAGATGCGCCGATTCAGGTTTTCACAGCTGCTGCTTCTGACTGAAAGAGATAATTAACAGATTATCCTAAAATTATCCTGCATGACGTAAAAATTCTGATCCTGTTAGGAAAGATTTCCTCATGGATGATCTGTTGGTGCAGGTATGAGTTAGCGCTCAGTGGTGGGGAGTTCACAAACGGGGGGAAATTTTAGATTTCTTTATTGCTGTTTGGTAATGGAGCCTATGTGACCTCTAAATAAATAAATGGCATTAATGAAAACTTGCTATTTCTGGGTCACAAATTAAAGGTCAGTTCCTGAAAACATCCCCAACATTTAATATTTAACATCTAAATCTGATCCCGCCAAAATAAAGGGCAACACAAAGTCGGACGTTACAGAAAGAAATGTTATTTATGTAACCAGGAAGTCCTTTAAAATAAAGGGTCATCGTTAAAATAATAGAGATTATGTGAAAAATAACTAAAGATCTTTGCAAAGGGTTTTAATTGCCTGATAATACGACCATGTGTTTTTTAATGTGTCTTCTAGGATTTTCCTGTTTTGTTGTGTGTATTTTGCTGGATAAATAAAGGGAAAGCTCCAAGTAGATCATCTCGAAGGTTTAGTTGGAACAACTTGTTTTGAGGCGAAATGTCTTCAAGGAACACAAGAAAAATCCAATTATTCCAACTAAAACATCCAGATTATCATTCCCTGGATGACTGAAAATCTACAAACCTCTAAATAAAGACATGATTAAAAACGAAACCAGTGAATATTTGGTGTTTGGGAGAATAATTTAAATCATCCATTTGCCCTTGTGCAGCCTCTGCTTCATCCTGCATCTTGGTACTCACTAACACCTGGATAAAGGTTTAATTAATGCCATCCTGTTTGTCCTCGGTGCATGGGCTATATATATTCACCCCATGGCTCTCACATCACCTGAAGCTCAAAGGATTGGTTCACATTAAAACAGTGACAGTAAGCTGGTATTCTGGCTGTTTTTCATCAACGGAGTTAAACCTTTTAGGCCAGATTAAGCCACGGAAGCCTTTTGCTGAGTCATATTTATTATCATTTAAATTCTTACGTATTTTCTGCTCGTCATCTTTTCTGCCACCTTTTCAACGTGGTTGAGGTCTCATCAGCTTCGACTACAACCCTCGTCAGGTGGCTGCTGCCCGTAACAAAATCATTACAGCAACCAACAAAAATGCAGAAGGGCATTTTTTAAAAATGTGAACTTATCCTGTGAGGCTTTAAGTTCTTGCACAACCGCATTTACAAGCCAACGGTAAAGCTAAAAGCTGCAATGGCAAATCTGCAAAAAGCTAGCTTTTAATGACAGAAATCTCACCCCTCCTGTCGGTGGTAATCCCTCTGATATGGAAACGTGCATTGCTACAGGAAGTGAGATGGCGCTAAACACCAGTCTTGGTTTTTTTGGTCCGTGACTTCAAATGGTGTTTTTCTTTTTGGGACTCTGGTAGTTTGTCCTAAAGTTGAAGTGGTAGCAGCTGGCTGTTTCTTCTTCTCTGGTATTATTGAGCGGAGAACCTCTCACACCAGTGGTGCTCTGTTGCCAAACGCGTGAGCGTGTGATGAAGGGAGGACCCAGCGAGGTGCAGAAGTCTGGAGGTTCAGTGAAACCGACAACCAAATGGTCCAATCGTTGGTGTCGGACCGAGCCACATCATCGGCTTGGTCTGATTTTAGAAAATTGCGAGAGGACCAATTTGTTTTTTTTTTTCTTCCAATTCTTTTTAATTTCCTCAAAGTATTAACAGCTATTCTACGTTAGAAAGAGACGTGAAAAATGTTTCAAACTAGCTTGTTTTGCAGCTTTGCCGTCGCACCTTTAACTTGTTTCTCAGTTTACCAGAGGTGTTGTCATTGCACATGGGACAGCATGTGTGACCCCTGACCTCTCCGTTTCAGACAGACGAGGTGTTTCTGGAGGCTCAGATCCAGAACATCACCACCTCACCGATGTTCATGGAGAAAGTGTCCCTAGAACCGTCCATGATGTACAACGTTACAGAGCTCAACATCGTCACAAGTGGAGATCAGGGGTAAAGGAGCTTATTGCGACAAATGAAGTCGCCTTTCATGTGATGCAGACCGTTAATGTCTTTGTTTTCTCTCCAGAGAGTCAACGTTTGGCAAAATGTCCTACCTGCAGCCCATGGACACGCGGCAGTACTTATACTGCCTGAAGCCGAAGCCCGAGTACGCAGAGAAAGCCGGAGTCATCAAGGGAGTGACGGTGATCGGGAAGCTGGACATTGTGTGGAAGACCAATCTCGGGGAGAGGGGGAGGTTACAGACCAGTCAGCTGCAGAGAATGGTATTGTGTCACCTCCTTTTACTTCCCAAAACATCACGTTTTACACTCTTTCATTCACTTTGTCTGGTGTGTCCTCCAGGCTCCAGGATATGGAGACATCCGGATGTCCGTGGAGATGATCCCTGAAACTGTAAACCTGGAAGAACCTTTTGACATCACCTGTAAAATCATCAACTGCAGGTGCAGAGACTCATCCCACCCTCTTTAATAATAAAATGTGACCTTTGACCTGAAAGCGCTAACTGTAACATTGGTGTAGCGAGCGAACCATGGACCTGCAGCTGGAGATGTGCAACACGAGGACGGTCCACTGGTGTGGGATATCAGGACGGCAGCTGGGGAAGCTCACGCCTGGTGCCTCCCTCTTACTGCCCCTCACAGTCTTCTCCTCCGTCCAGGGTCTGCAGGTAAAGCTCAGACTTTCTGGATCCAGAACACTTCCTGTTTCCTCACGCTCACATTTCCTGCTCCTCTTTGTTCCAGAGTATTTCCGGACTGAGACTCACCGACACGTTTCTAAAGAGGACCTACGAATACGACGACATTGCACAAGTGTGTGTGGTCTGTCCGTTTTTGAACAATGAGTGCTAGGAATTTTATCAGCCCTTTTTTTGCATTTTAGATATGACTGGACCAACGGAGGAGTTTTTGCACTTGAAATTTCACTCTTTTTCTTTTTGCAACCTAATGAGATGATACTACATTTTAAAATGAACTGTGAATAGCATTAATCTTTTCTTCTGGGAAATAATGTAAATGTGTAAAAGTGTTAATAAATACTCTGTAAACTTTGTGTCTCGTTTTCACAAATGAACAGTATGTTAGGAGATTATGGTATTATTAGATATCTCACTTTTTATTAAGCATTTTGTTTAGTTTATTTTAACTCGGTCAAAACTGAGTATGTTTTTTAATCATATGAAAACCAGAGCATCTGCAGGGTTGAGGAAGCCAAATTTAAGACTTTAAAAGACAATTTTGATCAAATTTTGTTCTGCTGGGACCGAAAGTGCTGAAAAACACAAACGTCAAGATATTTGCTTTGCAGAAGATGAACGTGCATGTAGTTCCTAACATCTAAAGCTGCACTTCCCCGTGGCTCACACACCCACTAGCTAATGCAGCTAATGTGCATACCTGAAAATACACCCCCACCCTAAATAAATGTTGCTGGTTCCTCTTATGCCAGATTCATATGTAAAAATACAAAAGATTCACAAAATGCAAATGAAATAACGGTGTGTTATTTTTAAACCTGGACTCTAGATTTAAGGATTATTTTAATTATAGTCAATAAAAAAAATTTAATAATTATAGAAAATATAATTAAAGTCTTTTTAAGGATACACCCTGTAAATAAAACCCAAAACACACATTTTCCCACTACAATGATGCTTCAAAAGAAAAATGTATGTGTCAGAATTAATAATAATAATGCATAGAACTTATATAGCGCTTTTCTAGACACCCAAAGACGCTTTCACACACTCTCACATTCACACACTGCTAGTGATGGTAAGCTGCTTGTAGCCACAGCCGCCCTGGGGAGGTCTGACAGAGGCGAGGCTGCCATTTGGCGCCATCGGCCCCTCTGACCACCACTAACACAGGCAAGTTGGGTGAAGTGTCTTGCCCAAGGACACAACAGTAGGATACCCCTGGCGGGAGCCGGAATCGAGCCCATGACCCTCCGATCATGAGGCAACCCGCTCTACCACCTGAGCAACTGCTGCCCCGTGGTGATAATATGCAAACAGATTACATTTAAATAGTTTTTTGGCATGTTGGTAAAAATCATCGGTTCCTGAGGGAATATGAGTCATAAAACTAATGAATGCATTTTTTGAATAGTTTTGCATCATGCTGCCCAAATGATACATTTATTAAGAGCATTTATTATAGGGTGGGGGCAGCAGTAGCTCACCAGGTTGAGCAGGTTGTCCAGTAATTGGCGAGTTGTAGGTTGGATCCCAGCTTCGGACAGAGGATTCTGCTGTTGTGTCCTTGGGCAAGACACTTAACCCACCTTGCCTGCTGATGGTGGTCGGAGGGACCGGTGGCGCATGTGTTCGCCAGGCCTCGCCTCTGTCAGTGCGCCCCAGGGCAGCTGTGGCTACGTCGTAGCTCATCACCAGCGTACAAATGTGTGGATGACTGTGTTGTGAAGTGCCTTGGGGGGTTGTAGAACCCTAAGAAGGTGCTACATATACACAGGCCATTTACAGTTTTACCATATTAATGGTTTGATTATCAAAATGAATGATTTACTTAAATTCTTGCTAAAACAATGTAATTTATACCATTTTTAACATAACTACTGGCTGTATTTTAATAACTATAATGTGTGTGTAATCACATTAAAATGGGCTCTTTTCATCTTTAGATGCTCGTGTAGGGGCGATGGTGGCACAGGAGTTAAGTGCTTGCCCCGTAATCGGAAGGTTGCAGGTTCGAGCCCCGCTCAGTCTGTCGCTGTCGTTGTGTCCTTGGGCAAGACACTTAACCCACCTTGCCTGCTGGTGGTGGTCGGAGGGACCGGTGGCGCCAGTGCTCAGCAGCCTCGCCTCTGTCAGTGCGCCCCAGGGCAGCTGTGGCTACATCGTAGCTCATCCCCACCAGTGTGTGAATGTGTGTGTGAATGGGTGAATGACTGATTGTGTTGTAAAGCGCCTTGGAAGGTTCCAGGACTCTAGAAGGCGCTATATCAAATACAGGCCATTTACCATTTAAATGCAGCAGGGCTTTTAAAAATATATTATCAATGTCTGATATTAGTGCTGTTGTGGTTAAGAACATCTTTTCAACACCTTAATCTTACAGCTGAAATGTCTCCTCATTAGCCTTCGTTTCTAGAGGAGCACTCACTCTGCTCTAAAACAAGCAGAAAATGGGCTGGAAGCAGACGCCAGCTCCACCCCACTCAGCTCCCTCCACCAGCAGGGTCCGGACCGGCAACTCTGAAGTTGCAAGTCCGGTATTCTGGTCACACGAGGCATTGGGGTCTGAGTAACCCTGTAACGGGTCATTTTAGCACATACTCGCTCAAGAAAGTGATTATAAATGAAAAAGTTGCATAATGTGCCCTTAAATAAAAAAAATTCGGATGCATTTTTTATTTAAGGAAAACAAAAACAGGACGTTTAATTTTACTACATTTATTTGTTTTTGACAAAACAATGTGCTGTCTGCAGCATACCAATGTGTTGCCATAAAGCATCAGATCTCAAACACCAGCTTTATTTGCATGCAAAACAATCAGTACGAACATGTTGTTAATCAACCAATTGATGTGACTTAAAGGGAAGGGCTTCTTTTGCTTTGACAGAGCCGTAACAACATAAAACTCCGCTGTACAATCACACTTTTGTCTTAATTCAAAGTACTGCAAAGCAATGATGTGAATCTCTTTTACTCATAAACAGTCAACTCTGTCTACAAAAATAATACTAAATATTATAAACAGTATGCTTTAGTATATCTGTGTGAGAGACGAAGCTGAAATGGTCCCTGCTCTGTAGCTAATGAACGTTCCTCCCACACCCCTTGATGCCTCTTGACTAGACTGGTGGATTCTCAGCTCCTAACGCGGTGAAGGCAGCAGTTTCAGCACATCGAAACACCATCGGCTCATCAAAACTTCGAGGAAAATATTCACTCTTCTGTCGACAAGCAGAATGAGGTGTTGGCTTTTTGTGATCGGGTGTTTATGGTATGTTTGCCCTACTTGAATGGGATGTTCTTGTTTAAGGTCCAGTCTCCAGGCTCTTCCTCCTCTGCAGGAGCCCTCAGTCTCAGTAAAGTGCCTTCAGCCCCACCCTCGTCTCTTCATTCCAGCTGTGCCGGGGATTTGACTCAAAGAAATGGGTGTAGAGATTGTTATCGCGCCGTATGGTTGCTCTTCCTTTGGGGGAAAAGAAATCGCATCTGCAATAAAAATATTAAATGTTAATCCTAAAAATGTGTCCTAGATTTAAGCAGTGGGTTAAAGTTTTGGGTTTTAGATTTTTTTTAATTACAGGAAAGGATCATGAATGCTCCTCGGCGCTGCCGCTGAAAGAACGGCTCCGGATGTGGTTCCTCAGCTGCTCGATCAGCTCCGGGTTCTGCTGCTGGATCTGTTGGGCAAACTGTTGTCCTCTTAATAAAGAGCAGAGACAGAAGAGATCCATCAGTTTTCTGCTACTACAGGCAGTTAAAGATGACAAATTCTGACCTTTTTTCTAATAGTTTTATGGTCGATACGAAACATGTTCATAAAGGTTTTTTGCACAAAATCTCTCGCATAAAGCAATTTCAGCAATTTTATAATTAACAGTTTCAGTACCTTCCAGAATGAGGCGTTTCAGAGTGCTGTCACTTAAAGAAAACGAGCTGGCGCTGGCCACGCCCAGCTGTCCCCTAATTGGCTGTTATAAGCTGAAAAGCTCTAATATCAAGGAGGGGCTCGGAGTAGAGCTGCAGCTCCTCCAGCAGTAGCTCTCTCTTGCACATAAGAAACGGTTCTATGCTAATTTCCCTGGTTGTGACATCACAAACAGGGAGTTTTTGAAATGGCTTGTTTTAGGCACATGATTTCTGAAACCAAACACTGTCAGAAAATGGATGGATGGATTTTTTTCAAATTTGGAGTGTTTTTGAGGCAGTAGAGACCCACATGGCAGAACAAAAGATGGCAAATGGTGAGGTTTTCATAATACGTCCCCTTTAAACCCAAAAAAAATTCTGATAATGAGTTTCTTTAGTTAAAATATCATTGGCCTCCTTCTACAAAGGATGGGTAACGTGATATAAAAGTGATTTTAATGAGAAACATTGTTTAATAGCGTATTTTATTATTTAGTAATAATGAGAAAGGTCTTAAGTAAAGTAACACTGATCAAAGGTTAACCAAATAACGGGAGCATGACTCAACAAATTACACTTGCTAACTCTCTCACTGCCCGCTCCTTCACACACACACTTCGTTACGGCTTGACCAACGGGTAGACGAATACGTTTCTCTGAAAAATTACAAATTCCACTGTTCCATCATTTTCTGCTGGACAAAATCCAAACATCCTGTGAGATGTCAGCTTTTTGTTGTTATGAGCGATCTCATCATTACGACTTGTTTTCACGAGAAACCTCCTCATAATTGCGTGCTTTTGTGTATCATAATAGTGAGAAGCCCCTATAATGAGACTGCTCTTTTCTTTTTTCTGACTTCATCTGTCAGATACCAGAAAGCGTCAGCACATTTGGGGATCTGTAATCAAACATACTGTTCCAGTCCTTTGCATTAGAAGTCTATATTTTGATGCAGGTGAAAAAAGGCAGCTTAATGATAAATCAGTGTTAAAACCATATAAGAAAAGTAAAGATAAAAAAAAGATAATTAAAAACAGAAACGGTCATAATTACTTGGTTTATTGGACAGTTGGAAGTTATTGATTAGATGCCTTGCTGCCAGGATTTAGAGGAGTAGATGAATACCAGAAACAAAATCTGGACAAACCTTCCTCCAAAGCCTCTCAACAGAAATAAACCCCAAGACCAAGTAAAGGTGTAAAGCGAACATGGATTTGAGTTTAGTTTCCGTGCACTTACGCCTCAATCAGGCTGGAAATGTCTGACATTCCTCCCACTCCCGCTGCGGGGCCTCCGACGGCATTAGACATCATTCCTGACATCCTGAGCACACAGTGACACAGTGAGTCGATTCACCCCAGCTCATCCGGAAACTAAAGCTTAAACACAGACTCCACTCACAGCTGTTGGACCTGTTGGTTCTGCATCACACTCGCAGCCTGTAAACAAAAACCAGATGAAATCCATCGCGTCTCCCACAGGTGTTGTTAAAAACCGATTTACTACTGATCACGCTGGCAGCTTTATGAGGAAGACCCATAGGTCTTTGCTGTGAATGCAGGTAATGTCAGATTTAAAAGAGTTTTCCTGATGGAATGAACCTCTGGCCTGTCCGCAGAAGCATTCTTGACCTGGTTGACTATGGAGCTAGGACTGGGACAATATTCAATGTAACTTGTACCAAGTTTTGTAACTTGGAATATGTTTCATGACATGTAACTTTGGATTCGTAACTTGTAACTTTAGTTTTCCAACTTGTAATTCTCAATTTGTACTTGTATTTCTTGTTTTGTAACAGGAAATTTTCATTTTGTACATGTATTTTTTATTTTGTAAAATGTATTTTGCCCTCCTCTCCCAATGATTGGGCAGGAATTCAAGAAACGTGATTGGTAGCTAAGACTCGTGCTCTCATTGGTTCCACCCAAGTTCCTCCCACCGATGCTAGAATTGAGACAAAATTATTTGTAACACTGTAGATTTGAGGTTTGTACCTGTAGCATGAAATGTGTGTTTTGAGAGTTTTGATTTCAAACATGTACATTGTTTTTTTTTATTTTGGAAGTCTGCTAGGTAAAAACCGGAAGTTTCATGTTTCTGAATGAATGTTTGATGTCACAAAATGAGTAGTAAATGTACAAAATAAAAGTTTGATTTTACAAAACAAGAAATACATGTTGTAACGTGATGAATGAGCCATTTCTCCCCTCTAACAGCTGTCCTTGTGACACAGTGCCAGTGTGCATGAACAGCCAAGGTCACGCATTTACTTCTAATGTTTACATTCCAGCAAGAAGACAGAAGGAAGAAGAACACTTTTCTTTTAATTAATCAAAGAACTCTATTTTAATGAACCTAATCAAAACAACTGTTAGTCATTAATAACCATGTGACCGATCTGTGAAATCACAATGTTATGATTAATATGCTTAATGAGTAATATGACTTTGGTCTAACTGCACTAGACATCCTGATCCATGTAATGTCAAGACATGACACATTGTTTACTCATCCAATCAGAACCTTCATTCTGAAGCGTGGCAGAGTTTCTGTGGTGTTTATTTAATCTGTCCACTGCGATTCGTCAAGAATCGTAAACAACCAAGATTAATAAAACAGAACAACGCCATTTTGTGTTCAGTATTCAACCAACTCTCGAGATCATCTGATGTCCATCATTGCTAAGTGAAGTACGGACTGGCCATCTGTACATTTTACTTTTAAGCTGAGAACTGTCAAGCTGGAAAATCCTGTCGTTGTTACCAACAAAACAACGGTTCCTTCAGAATAAAAGCTGAACTCGCTGACCCAAAGGGGGGTCCCTTTGACGCTGTGAAACACCTGCCGTTTTTACCTGGAGACTATCCATAGACTGGCTTGTCGTGCTGTCGACGCTGTTTAATCGGTTCCAGCACCAGAGGAGGGTCCGAGGACCTGGCAGCCAGATCTAACATGGAAGTCCCTGACGGGTATTGTAGAACGGCACCAGATGGCGTCTAATGTCTGTCCTGACTAAAGTTCAAACGTCGATCAGTTAGGAGCAAAACTACATCTCCCACTCAGACTCTCTTCTCCAGACGGAGGTTCTGAACTGACATCGCACCAACACACACACTCCACCTCATTGCATTCCATTCGCATCCATCACTAGAGAGTTAGTCCTGTTAACTGTTTAAAATAATTTAGATAATAATTTTTCTTAAACGTTCCAAGGTCTCTCTCTCTTCTCTTGTCTCTCAGTTCATGCAGTGTTTAATTTTAAATTTCTCTATAAAAAAAGAATCACTTCTGATTTAAAAAGCCCAGGTCCAGAGATGGGGTCCCTGCCAGGTATGGATCATTAATATCTCTGGTTCTTAATTAAATTGTAATACCCTTCATTTCCATTACACATGTACAAATTGAGAATTACAAGTTAGAAAACTAAAGTTACAAGTTACGAATCCAAAGTTACATGTCATGAAACATGTTCCAAGTTACAAAACTTGGTACAAGTTACATTGAATATTATCCCAATCCTAGCTCCATAGTTGACACTCACATGTGTCTTCTTTTAACAAGGCAGGATTATTTCTGCTCGGAGCAAAAGGTTTAGTCTCTGATGGCTAACAGGAATGTTGGCTGAGATGTTAGAGCTCTTACCATGCTGATGAAAGCAGGGTTGTTGATCAAACTGGCCATGTCAAATCCTAATCCAGCGGCTATCTGTGAGCACAGATTCAAAAAAGCAACCATACGTGTGAATTAAAGAATACATATCCACTAAACGCTACAAAAACAATGAGTTAAAAACAGTGCTGCTAATCTATGTTTACTTAAATTTTCTATCCTAAAGAGCTAGCTGCACATTTGAAATAAATAACTTAAAAACTTTAATGACCAAAGTTTTTATACCAAATCTGGTTAAAGCTACAACGGCAAATCTGCCAATCAAGCTAGCTAGCTTAAAACATTTTTTCATGCCTCTCAATAACATTCTAACATAGTTTAGCTTTAAATGTTTTGTGGAGACAAAAATATAGAAAAATAATGACGTAGTTCTCTTGTAACAACCTCAGCCAATAACACGGCTCAGGTTGAAACCAACTATTGGACCATCCGGGTGTCTGTTTCATCAAGCCACCACACATCTGCATATACCTGGGTCCTCCACTCATTACGTGCCTGCACATCTTGCAACAGAACACCACTGGTGTGAGCGGTTCTCTGCTCAGAATTGCCGGACAAGGAGAAACAACCAGCTGCTACAACTTTAGAACAAACTACCAGAGTCCCACAAAGAAAAAATCCATTTGAAGTGTCAAATGAAGAGAGTCCCCTTTACCCATGACACAAAGAGATGCAAACAACAGACATTTTTTGATTGAGAAGTTCGACAGAAGCCGCAGAAAACAAAAGACAATTGGACGTAGAAAACTAGGGATGCACGATACGATACTGGAATCGGTATCAGTTAAAGTTAACCGATACCAATGCAGTTGCTTGAAAGGGGCTTCACTGTTAACTTGTCATTTCTGTTCACCTAATATTTTAGTTTTGTGATCATTTCTATTTGTAACGTCACAAAATGGCCTGATTTTGAGATCCCACAGGTCAAATGCACAGCCAGGTCAACTTACCCTGGCTATGACACATCTTACTGTATTTTCCCCTGACAGGAGTCGGAGAGTCTGCACGTAGCCCCTTTAATCAGAGCCTACTTCCTCACACCAGCTGGACTGCAGGGATAATAAATGATAAACAATAAACATTTTCTCCTCCAAGGTCCATCACAGAGGAACTCTTTTAAAATAAACTCCGTTATTCCAAGAAGAAGAAAAGAAGATTTTATGATTAAAAATAATCATTGAATGAACTTTTGTTATTGTTAATTATAAATAATGAAATTTTTCATTAATCTGTACTCAATGATTGTTTTAGTATGTTTACTTGACGAGGTCATAACATTTGCACTCACAAGTAAAGTTAAGTTAATGCATGACACATAAGTTAACCTTTTGCCCACATTCGGAGTCTCCATCGAAGAGGGTGTGTTCTGAGATTCTTGGTAACATCTCTCAAACTTGTCAGCCTCTGATTGGCTGGCCAAACCATAATATCAATTGTTTAAAACCAGATGGCTTTGGGTAATTAGTCAGTTCTTGAGCAAGCTTCAGACCGACCATCTTTAGCACCTCTCTAACCAGAAGGATTTTGACACGTCGTCAAAACCTTAAACCTTTTTCGCACCTGCAAAGGTGAAACAACAAGATAGTTTTCCTGCAGAACAAAGCTGACTCCAAACTCCTTCAGAGTAATTTTTAAGATGCTCGGTTTCATCCATCTGTCGTGACCCGAAAGACATCTCCGGACTGAAAGAACCGGCACCTCGGTCCTCTACAGCCCTCCGGTGCCAGCGGTCATCCGACCTCTCACTTTCGGATCCACCAAGAGGGTCTCTTAATCCGGGTAGACACACAGATAGCGTCTGAATGTGGTTCTGATAATAACATCTTTATAGTTTATTTGCAAACCAAATTCTTTCCATCCAGAACTCAGCTCTGAGAACGCAGATTCTGAATACAATATTCACACATAGGTTCCAGACACCATCTTAGTTCGCATCCACTCACAGTAAATAATAGTTGAAACCATTTGTCAAGTCTTAAGTGTTTGTAAAATAAATTCTTACTTTGTTTATAAACCTGACTATTTCTTGAATCAAAGTGAAGTGTGTATGATCCCTTAATAATTAAAAGAATCCTAGGATCTTCTAATTAATCATCCTAAGACCAAGCAGGGGATATTCTATTTATATAGAGTATCATGGCTATTGGTCACAAGTAGTAGTAAGCAATTTACTTAAAGCAATTTACCCTCTATTATCATTACATTTTCATATATTTTACTTTTTATCTGCCTCACAGTCTTTTCCTGTTGAAAGCAGAGAAGAAAATAAAACCTGTATTCCAATTCATTGCATTTTTTTTGTGTGGTTGAAGTATCGATATTGGTAATCGTATCGGCGAGTACTCAGATCCAAGTATGGGTATTGTTGCATTCCTATAGAAAACTGTGACTGGTGTTTAGTACTCTCATTTACTGTGGCAATGTGGGTTCAGGTATCAGTGGGATTTGGCCTAGGGATGATAGGCAACTGGAATGTTTAAAGCTAGCTTGTTTAGCAGATTTGCCATTGCAGCTTTAAGCCTAAAATACCCAGAGTTAACGTTTTAAGATGGCTGCAGTTACAAACTTATGTCAACAGGTGGCAGAGCTGTATTGTTTAGGGAAGATGATGAGGGTATACAGCTGGGGTCCTAAACTAAATGTGTTCAAGGGCCAGAGTTTTTTCCAGCTGACACAGCGAGGGCCAGAAGCTCTTCTAAAACAAAGTAAAACTATTATTGTGTCTTTATTTATTAATATTTAAAACAGCTTTGTTTTCTATCTAAATTGTTTTGATTGTAATTGTAGTTGTGTTTGGAGAACATAAATAATTACAGATATGTGGGACATGAATTTTGCTGCTAATCTCCAAAGTCCCCTACTTGGGGGCTGGATAGAAAGGTCTAGCGGTCTGGGTCTGGCCTGCAGGCCGTCTGTTAAGGTTCACTGGTATACAGTATGTTAAAACTCTGTATTTCAGGTATGTTGGTGCAAAAAAATAGAACTTCATGGAAACATTTCCATATGATGTTCTAAAAAAGGCATGTTTTTGATGAGCTGTCAGTGTGTTTTGCCTTCTTTCTGCCAGTTTATGGACTTCTTTAAACACCACAAGACACACGAGTTTAAGCATCGGAGGAAGTGCTTGCCATTTGGAATGCATGACAAAATAAAAGCATGCTTGCAAAGTGGAATGTGAGAAAATTGTCTTAAAAAACAGTAACACTAATTTGATATCCTGCACAGCTCCAGGGACAACATTTGGTCAGATTTTGCAGGAACCCTACAGGAGGGTTAACTCACTGGACTAGACGCTTCTTTATGTTTCTGTTCTGCAATCTTCAGGTTCGATTTGTATGTTTCATTCTCCGGGTCCAACACCAAAGCTTTCTTAAAGTACGAAATCGCCTCAGGGTACTTGTTCATGGACGTCAAGGCCAAACTGGAGCCACAGAAACAAAAGGAGGGGTGATACTTATTGATATATATCCAGGAAAATACTTTAGTAAAGTTACACAAAACTCACCCCATCCTCCCATAGGCTTTACTGTAGGTCGGGTCAATCCCAATGGCTCGTTCACAGTCGCTGGTCGCCTCCGTGTAACTCCCTAGTTTACTGTGAGCTGCAGCCCTGCAACATGTTCAAATTAGACCCAGTTTGGCTTTTTGTTCACTTTCTGCAGGTGTGTAAATAAATACTGTCCAAAGCAAAAAACAAAAACCATAACAGACTTCACAGAATTATGTCATAATGTACAATTACATTATCTAATTTTCTGCGCCTCATCTATAAAATCCAATGCCGAGACTTTTCTCAGACAACTGCATCAATTTAAAGACAAAAGTGCCACTATTTTGCAAACATTTTTACTAGTGATTTTTTTACTCAAGTGCATTGAAATGTCAAAGTAGTGTGACCAGTCTATTAGTACTGCCACAGGGATATAGAATAAATGCATAAATGGCTTGCCATATACCTGTTGCAGTAATACACAGCGTTTCTCAGGTCCAGATCAATGGCCTTTGTGTAGCACTCTACTGCACATCTGTAGTTCTCCTCCTTCATGTGATTGTTCCCTAGAAACAAACAAAAATGTTTTACACAGTTTAAAACATCAGGCCAGGGTTCGAAAGAGACTTTTTAAATGCCCCCATAAATCAGATGTGAGGTTGGGTTAATGTTAACTTACAAAAGCTAGGAAGGTAATTATAGTTCAAACTGAAAAACACTTTTAATTTGTTAAACAACACTCAGATAAAGTTATATCAACGGTTTCTGTCAGTAATGCCTAATCTCTCTGCTGTGTTCCCAGATTATTGGTGTAATAAGACAAAGCGACTCATGTCAGGTGGTAAAAGAAATAAGAATACCTTAATTAGTCCCTCAGTGAGGAAATTGCGGTGCTGCAACAGCACAAGTACAGTAAATAAAATAGTAGTACACAAAAGATATCACTAAAAAAGGATTTAAATGAGTAACTTAGAATTTAAAAAGTATTGAATTGTGAGTTTGATAGTTGTTGCACATAATAACGATTGTTGCAGTAAATATTGCACATGTACTGAATGGTGATGACAGCACAGATACAGGAGTTGTTACAGATTTATGAGCTACATATTAGGAGTGTTCATTATTGAGTCTAATCGCAGCAGGAAGGAAAGACCTGCAGTATCTCTCCTTCACACAACGAGGGTGGATCAGTCTGTCGCTGAAGCTTCTCTCCAGAGCAGACAGGTCGTTCTGCAGGGGGTGGGACTCATGGTCCAGCACGGATCTCACTTTTGCCATAGTTGCAAAGATGGCCGTAGTTCAAAGCCCTTGTGTACGAAAATGGAGCTCAGTTGTAAAAATCAACTTTCAGGAACTATTTATGTTTATGTTTATGTATTTAGCAGACACTTTAGTCCAAAGTAACTTATAAGTGATAATCAAGCTGTCAGGTTGCCCTTGAGGGCTAACAATTTATTTAGACAATCTTCATACTGCTATCATTAAATTATATTAAAATGTTTTTGGGATTACCATAAAATGGTTTGCCTTTTGATTAAATACAAAAATAAACTACTTTGCTTTAAAAATGCTGATTTTTTTACGTTTTTACCTGAAAAAAAAAAAGGATCTGATGTTTTAGGGGATAAAATTTTACGCCAAGAATATAAACTAATCCATAGTGTGTTGCTAAAACAGTTTTGATCAGCAGAACTTTTAGATGGTGATGAAAAGCTTTTCAAACATTTCATAAATCTTCATATTTACAAGCATTCAGTCCGATTAGCTGGAAGTTACTCAAAAGCCCAAAGTATCTGAGTCACGTTGTCTTTATTCTCATTAAAGCACCCAGAGACACTGTATGTGAGTAGGCTTCATCTTAAAGAGCAAGCCACCCCCTACCAGAGTCTTACTCCACCCACACTTCCTGTTTGGAAATGCGCCAAAAGGAGGTGTCGCCTGGCAGACCGATAGAGCTGCACTGAGGCAGTGACTGTGAATTGCTCTATGGTAAAATGTCTGTACTTGATTTAATGTCTTGTAGTGTCCCAGAACCCCCCAAGGCGCTTTACAACACAATCAGTCATTAACCAATGTAAACGCACATTCACTCTTGATGAGAAATAAACATGTTGACATTTGGACCATTACCTTTTATGCCTGGTAGGTGTGATTTGCGTACAAAAGTTTGAGCTGTAAACATCTGTGTCGATGAGCAAAATATTTTGTAAATAAGCTCAATATGTAAAGCAAGGAGTTGTTTTTTGGTTTGTGAAATTTACCTTCATTTTTAAGCTGCTCTGCTCGTTCAGCGTCTTCAGGAGAAGGTGAAGACTCCGGTATGGTGAGGCTGTCATTCTGTTTAAATAGAGAAAATAAGCTGCGTTAGGATATTGTCATTTATTTATATTAAAATAAAAGTGGAATAGAAAGAAAAGAGAAAACACACCTTATTTGTTACATCTGTAATTTATAATAATTTAATCCTTAATCATAAATTATCTGCTTATTCCTCTGTAGGTTGCAGGGAACTGGTTCCTAACTACAGCAGTCATGAGGTGGGGTGGGGTGGGGGGGGGGGGGGCGCACACACACACACACACACTGGACAGGTCTTCAGTCCATCACATTGACACACAGAGGCAGAGACTATTTATTGATCATCCTAATAGATAGATATTTCACCATGGAGGACGTGCGGTACCTTCCACTGTAGTGAAATGCAAGATAATTACTTACAATAATATTGTTTTAAAGTAGGATTATGTGAGTTAAAATGACGTCATGATGAATATCGCCGTTAAGAGAAATGTTGTCTCATCCCGGTGTGAGAGTAGCATCAGAACTCAGTGACCCCGCCAGCGACAAAAAGTGGTAGGTATCTAGAGTAAATTGAAACGATATTTATCGGCTCTAGTGTAAAGTGAAACAATGTTTATCGGCTCTAGTGTAAAGTGAAACGATGTTTATCGGCTCTAGTGTAAAGTGAAACTATGTTTATCGACTCTAGTGTAAAGTGAAACGATGTTTATCTGCTCTAGTGTAAAGTGAAACTATGTTTATCGACTCTAGTGTAAAGTGAAACAATGTTTATCGGCTCTAGTGCAAAGTGAAACGATGTTTATCAGCTCTAGTGTAAAGTGAAACTATGTTTATCGACTCTAGTGTAAAGTGAAACGATGTTTATCTGCTCTAGTGTAAAGTGAAACAATTTTTATCTGCTCTAGTGACAGTGTAACGATGTTTATCGGCTCTAGTTTAAAGTGAAACGATGTTTATCAGCTCTAGTGGAAAGTGAAACAATTTTTATCTGCTCTAGTGGAAAGTGTAACGATGTTTATCGGCTCTAGTTTAAAGTGAAACGATGTTTATCGGCTCTAGTGTAAAGTTAAACGATGTTTATCGGCTCTAGTGTAAAGTGAAACGATGTTTATCGGCCCTAGTGTGAAGTGAAACGATGATTATTGGCTCTAGTGTGAAGGGAAACGATGATTATCGGCTCTAGTGTGAAGTGAAACGATGATTATCGGCTCTAGTGTAAACGATGTTTATCGGCTCCAGTGTAAAGTGTAACGATGTTTATCGCTCCGGTGTAAAATGAAACGATGTTTATCGGCTCCAATGTAAAGTGAAACGATGTTTATCGGCTCCGGTGTAAAGTGAAACAATGATTATCGGCTCTAGTGTAAAGTGAAACGATGTTTATCAGCTCTAGTGTAAAGTGAAACTATGTTTATCGACTCTAGTGTAAAGTGAAACGATGTTTATCTGCTCTAGTGTAAAGTGAAACTATGTTTATCGACTCTAGTGTAAAGTGAAACAATGTTTATCTGCTCTAGTGTAAAGTGAAACTATGTTTATCGACTCTAGTGTAAAGTGAAACGATGTTTATCGACTCTAGTGTAAAGTGAAACTATGTTTATCGACTCTAGTGTAAAGTGAAACGATGTTTATCGACTCTAGTGTAAAGTGAAACAATGATTATCGGCTCTAGTGTAAAGTGAAACGATGTTTATCAGCTCTAGTGTAAAGTGAAACTATGTTTATCGACTCTAGTGTAAAGTGAAACGATGTTTATCGACTCTAGTGTAAAGTGAAACTATGTTTATCGACTCTAGTGTAAAGTGAAACGATGTTTATCGACTCTAGTGTAAAGTGAAACAATGATTATCGGCTCTAGTGTAAAGTGAAACGATGTTTATCAGCTCTAGTGTAAAGTGAAACTATGTTTATCGGCTCTAGTGTAAAGTGAAACGATGTTTACCTGCTCTAGTGTAAAGTGAAACAATTTTTATCTGCTCTAGTGGAAAGTGTAACGATGTTTATCGGCTCTAGTTTAAAGTGAAACGATGTTTATCGGCTCTAGTGTAAAGTGAAACGATGTTTATCAGCTCTAGTGTAAAGTGAAACTATGTTTATCGACTCTAGTGTAAAGTGAAACGATGTTTATCTGCTCTAGTGTAAAGTGAAACAATTTTTATCTGCTCTAGTGGAAAGTGTAACGATGTTTATCGGCTCTAGTTTAAAGTGAAACGATGTTTATCAGCTCTAGTGGAAAGTGAAACAATTTTTATCTGCTCTAGTGGAAAGTGCAACGATGTTTATCGGCTCTAGTTTAAAGTGAAACGATGTTTATCGGCTCTAGTTTAAAGTGAAACGATGTTTATCGCTCTAGTGTAAAGTGAAACGATGTTTTTCGGCTCTAGTGTAAAGTGAAACGATGTTTATCAGCTCCAGTGTAAAGTGAAACGATGATTATCGGCTCTAGTGTGAAGTGAAACGATGATTATCGGCTCTAGTGTGAAGTGAAACGATGATTATCGGCTCTAGTGTAAACGATGTTTATCGGCTCCAGTGTAAAGTGTAACGATGTTTATCGCTCCGGTGTAAAATGAAACGATGTTTATCGGCTCCAATGTAAAGTGAAATGATGTTTATCGGCTCCGGTGTAAAGTGAAACTATGTTTATCGGCTCCGGTGTAAAATGAAACGATGTTTATCGCTCCAGTGTAAAATGAAACAATGTTTATCGGCTCCATTGTAAAGTGAAACGATGTTTATCGGCTCCGGTGTAAAGTGAAACAATGTTTATCGCTCCGGTGTAAAATGAAACAATGTTTATCGGCTCCATTGTAAAGTGAAACGATGTTTATCGGCTCCGGTGTAAAGTGAAACAATGTTTATCGCATAATGTTATAAATCCAGCAGGTGAATCCTGGCAAAGTTGGCAACTTGTTTAGATCAGTGAACAGCAGCAGGGAAAATGTAAGCTAAAGTTTGTTAAGCTAGTTAACACATGACTTTTGTAAACACTGCTCTCTGTGAGCCTCACCTAGATGTTGCAAATCTTCTCTGAAGTGAACTAGGCTTGAACTAGTAGAAACCAGGCTAAACTGGTAAAAAAGCAACCCCAGCCACTACTTTTCCTCTCTGTACACTCCCGTAGTTCGTTGTTGCCCCAGCTAGCTGTGCTGCTTCTTCCGATAACTGAACTGGGCCTAAAAGAGCTGAAGCCAGGCTAAACATTGCAAAAAACAACAAGAAAACAATTTCAATCACTTAGTACTCATTTTGCTCACTGTTGACATGCTTTTGCCAATCAATATGGTGGACCCAAGTGATTCGGTGGCGCAGGTGCAAAGGGTCAATAGAGAATTCAAGATGTCTCCAATTAACACACATGTTTTGGTCTGTAGGAGATAATTGGAGCTCCCTAACCCCCACATGCACAGGGAGAACATGCCAATTCTACACAGATAGGCTGCAGCCCAGATTCAAACCTGCAACCTTCTTGCTTGCGAGGCAACAATTCTACCAAACGGGCCACCGTGCAGCCCCATTTAATGTTTACATGAAAGTGTAAACATCAGTAAATAGTATTGATTAAATGAATTAAATGAAAAATCTACCCTCAAGCAGTTTGCAGGACCCACCTTGAGCAGGGCATTAAGGAATATTTCTCTGAGCGGCTGTGGCCCCGCCAGGTGACAATCACTGGAGCTGATCTTAAAAGTGGTCTCCAAGCACTGGACAGCGACTGGAGAGGAGAATTAGCAGTAAGCTAGGTTAGCAATAATTTTACAGAAACATCTAAAGGCATGTTTTTACCATGCCCATCTTATTTGTTCACTTCCTGTGTTAAAAGCTGCTTTTATTTACAACATTTAGGATCGTTTTACTGAAGTGGACAGAGCAGACATGCTTGCACTGAGGAATCTGACCTACCTTCAAGACTCTCCTGCTCATCAGAATTCAACGCTCCACAATGTGTTTGGTCTCGTAGGAACTGCACAATGGAATACGCCAGGCGCTTCTCCACCGCCATTTTCACCTAGAAACTTCTGCACCAGAGATTTGAATGAGATTCGATTCTAAATGTTCTAATTAAACTAAAACTGAAAAAAAAAACAGCATTAAAGGGACAGTTCACATATTTCCAAGTGATTTTAAGACTTTACTTGTTGCACTGCTTGCACCCGTGGAAATCTAGACAAAGTGTAGAAGTAGTAAAAGATTTAGCTCTGTAGGTTGGTCTAACCACGCTCTGTTGTAGCTTTAGCAGGTCTACATTTATAGAGAGACGCTGAACTTTTTCTTTTTAACACAATCACACCAGAGCTTCGACGGAGCAAAACAGCAAAGATGGCAGCGACTCAGGACAGGGTATCTGCAGGTTTAAGGGAGCCAAATTTAAGACTTTTTAAGACCTTTTTTAAGACCACTTTGACCAAATTTAAGCTGTTTTTAAAATTAAATTCAAGCTATAATTTCCAGCTATTGCCTGGAACCGGTGCTAACCACGTCGCAAACGTGGGATTAGTCATCCAGTTACCATTAAACTTTCACTTCCCCATGGCGCAAGCTCCCACTAGCTTAACCAGCTAATGTGCTCATCTAAAAATAGCCCCCTTTCACAACCAACTGAACGTGTACGGTTCCGCTTATGCCAATATCATACACAAAAAATGCTGAACACAAACTAGAAATTCACGAAAATTTTATAGAAATAAAAGAATCTTGTTTATTGGGTCTTTGGTAATTTAAGACCTTTGGAAACTGGATTTAATGATTATTTGTCATTTTTAAGGATTTTCAAGGCCTTAAATTTGGAAAAACAAATTTAAGACTTTTTAAGACTTTTTAAGGACCCGCGGATACCCTGCAGGAACAGTGCTGGTTTGAAACAGCTTTGGCATCAACTTTGGAAGATTTAGACTTGGGCTTCTGATTCTTTGATGGCGCAGGGCAGATTGCCACGTTGACTGATTACCACCGTTATGAATCTGTCACCTTGCTCCTTGCTCTGATTGGTCCTAGCGCTGTCCAATTGCATGCAGAGACAGTTTGAAAGACATTGGTAGATTCTGCCCCTCTACTGAGCTCTGTCTATGGGTTGTAGCCAGACTATATATATTCACATATACAAGATGGCATGCCAGGCTAGTTTATTATCACACATCACTGGAGAACACAACACTCCTGCACAAATGAGCAGTTTGCAGTGAGATTAAATGTATTTATTTACCAAAGACAACAAACCAGTAGAAAAAATTCTAACCAAACTAAACCTTTTAGCTTCATTAACATGTAGTTTTATTGTGCAGACACACTTTAGTGCCTGTACATAATTCTTGGACCCAACAGCAAGCTGTCCTTACCCTTAGTCCCTTTATTGCTTTCAGTTACACCTAGAATGGTGGTGCAGTTCTTGTTTCCAAGACAACTCATCAGATGAATTGAAGCACACTATATTTGCACCATTAACATGCTGGCTGTTGTGACAATGTGTTCCACCTCACTCTCGTCAAGTCCCGAGGAATCAAATGTGATTCTAATCATTGTTTTAGATGCTGAGAGCCCTCTGCAGGCACAAACACTGGCTGATATTTCCATCACGTGCTGAAGCCTTATGCGTTATGTTCATTATGGTCTGCCTAGCACAGTCACTCCTCCCTGTGTGTGTGTGTGTGTGTGTGTGTGTGTGTGTGTGTGTGTGTGTGTGTGTGTGTGTGTGTGTGTGTGTGTGTGTGTGTGTGTGTGTGTGTGTGTGTGTTTTGACACACGCAGTGATGCAGAAGATGTGATGTAATACCAGAATTGGAGAGCAGAGGTGTTTTGATCCATCATGCAGGTCCGACACTAAAAAGAAAAAAGCCCACAGCCCACAATAGCTAATTCAGACAACAACGCAGCTAATTTTAAAGCCTAATCTGACAGCAGGGCACGCGCTGAGCAGACTAGGATGCGGAGAAAGAACATACATTTAAATTAACTGCGTCACAAACGTCAAGCCTTCAGCAGCTAACAGGACTAGTTATTAATAACATTATGTGAAAGGGTGGTGGTCGGTGTCCCCCACCTACCTGAGATCCGAGGCTGTCTGCTGCTCGCGCGTCATGAGGGATTCTGTCATCCTCTTCTGCGCATGCGCGAAGACGGCGGAAGACACTTCCCTTTTTGGAAGAAAAAAATAAGCTGGACCGAGCTGGACGTGTTGGTTTGGTACCGCTAAAGAAACAGTAAGACTGTCAGAAACACCCCTTCTTTGCTCGGATAAACGCATGAACTGTTCCAGCATGTGTGCGTTAAGAGTTGTCTGCCGAACGCGTTTCAGGTAGGCTTCATAGAGGTTCAAAACAAGAAATAAAGCTGTTATTAAACGTGCACGTGCCAAAAATTACAGAACTACCTTCAATTTGCTCCACGTGCTGTGGGCTTCTGTGTGAAAACCATAGACTGTACATATACAACTGAGTAACTTTTGTTCTCTTTTGCGCTTTTTGTTTGTCATTTGATAGCCAGCTGGTTGACTTGGCATGTTTCTTCCTCTGCTATGAAACAGGGTCACGTGGTTTAAATGTTTAATTGATCCATCCCACCAAATTCAGATGGTGCTGTTGCCTCTACAGTATGTGGAGCTCAGCTGAAGTCAGATAATCATTCGTTTTAATCAGGTGTGTTATAATATATATATATATATATATGGAGACAGGAGAAGCTGGGCACCCACTCAAGTTTCTTAAGCCTGCCACACACGAGAGCATTCTGAGGAAGAAGAAAATATCATTTCTATAGCGCCTCTCAAGATAAAAATCACGAGGCGCTTCACACAAACAAAAAATATAAAAATTGTAAAAATATAAAAAAGCATTTCGAAAATGTTTAAAAATATATTTAAAATGAGCAAGAATAAGCAATTGCGATTTAAAAGAAAAAAATGTTAAGAAAGGGAGAAGAGTGAATAGGAAAGAGGGAAATCAGTGGATCCTGAGGAAGGTGGAATAGGTGGGGAGAGCAGAATAAAGAGAGTGTGGTGAAGAAGGTCATACAAAAGCCAGCTTGAACAATTGAGTCTTCAGCTGCTTTTTGAAGGAGACCACCAAGTCCACTGATCTCAGGCTCAGGGGGAGAGAGGTCCAGAGTCCGGGGGCCACAGCAGCAGATGATCTGTCACCTTTGGTCTTTAGCCTGGTGCTGCACAACCAGTAGGCTTTGATCACTGGACCTCAGGGACCTGCTGGGGTGTAGGGACTAAGAAGATCACCAATGTATGATGGTGCTTGTCCATGTAAGGCCCTATAGACCAGAACCAGGATCTTGAAATGAACCCTGGAGTTGACTGGCAGCCAATGAAGCTGGAGGAGAAGCGGGGTGATGTGGAGGACTTGGTCAGATGCCGAGCACAGGCATTCTGAACCACCTGTAGACGGTTCTGGGAGGTTCTGCTCAGACATGTGAAAAGAGAGTTACAGTAGTCTAAGCGTGAGGAGATGAAGGTGTGGAGAACTGTCTCAAGTTCAGAGCGAGACAGAATGGGACTCAGCTTAGCAATGTTCCTGAGATGGCCTCGAATGACTGTTTGCTCGGCAGATACCTCGCCGTGTGTGCCTGATTTTGACTGAGTTTTCCACCTCACGAGACGCTGAGCCGAATATCTGACCAGTCAGATATTTTCCACCTCACGGGGGGTAGAAACCCATCGTGTGTGCACTACTGAGCTGCTGGCTGAGCTGAAATATTGTAGTGGCCAATCAAAGCGCGTTCACATGACCCAAGATGTATTCAGATGCAGCCCCCTGCCCTGTCTGCGTGTCTGAAAAATAAACAACGGTACCTTGCGGATCGATGGGCCTGGGGTGGGCAATATAGCCTAAAATCTATATTGCGATATAATTTGAAAAATGTGCGGTAACGGTATATATTGCGATATATGACTTTCTTTTGTATATATATATATGTCAAAAACGACTGTTTCTAAACATACTCACATACCAGATGCATTGCAGTAGCAGAATAAAAACACACTTCAAACAGTATAAAATGCCATTTTAAGAAAATTTATTAATTTTCTTGCTTTACTTGCTCGCGGACTTTCTTGTACAGTTTTGGCATCTCTGTTTGGCTGAAGTGTTAGCGGCTCGGTACCTCGTAACGTGGATCGAGTGTCTTAATCATGTCCGGAAAGCCGCTTTTCTCCACTGTAAGAAACGGCACCATGTCCTTACACAGGTACGTGGTAATGGCATTTGTAATATCAATCCACCGTTGATTATTTCTCATACTGAGTGCCTTTAGCAAATGCTTGTAAAATATCTGTCTGCTGGTGTGTAAGACCACCTTTTTTCTTACCGCTGGACTGACTGGGCGTTTGTTGAGGACGCAGTTTTTGGCTTTCTTCGTATTCCACAACGTGCTTCGTTTTGAGGTGGTAAAACAAATTGGATGTATTCCCTCTATTCGCTAATACTTTCTTCCGGCATACTTTGCAGATTATATTGTTCTGCTCCACATCCGACTCCTTAAAGCCAAACCAAGTCCAAATGACAGATGTTGCACCGGTCTTCTTTACGAGAACCTCCTCCTCCTCCACCACAGGCTCCATGCTTTCAGCCTCAACAGACGACGCTTGATGACGTCATCAACATGCGCTACCGCGATAGGCCGATATAGTGAAAATCTCTACCGTTGGCCAAATTAATGTCATTTCTACCGTATACCGTTTATGCCGCCCACCCCTAGATGGGCCCTCTGTTTCCATTACCCTCTCGAAGGATCCAGGCGGCTGTACCGTTGGAAGGATTCTGGGTCTTCCAGGCGCATCTCTTGGAGTAAATTGGCATAAATTCTTCGCCTGGCCCTTCTTTCCATCCACCGTACACATACTTTCCTAACCTTGAAATTAGGGCTGCAACAACGAATCGATAAATTCGATGAAAATCGATTACTAAAAGCGTTGGCAACGAATTGCGTCATCGATTCGTTGTGTCGCACAACTCTTCCAAAAGCGCCCCCCCTTCCCGCCCGCCGTTGCGCGCAGACCAGAGCAAGTCAGATCAGCGTGAGGGAGAGCCGCAGATCAGCGCGAGGGAGAGCCGGCAGATCAGCGCGAGGGAGAGCCGCAGATCAGCGCGAAGGAGAGCCGCAGGTCAGCGCGAGGGAGAGCCGGCAGATCAGCGCAAGGGAGAACCGGCAGATCAGCGTGAGGGAGAGCCGGTACCGGCAGATCAGCGCGAGGGAGAGCCTGCAGACTTGCGCTGCTGCGAACCGGTTCCGCATTGTTGCACAGCGATCCAGGCAGCTGCTTCCAGCGCACGGTCCATTCTCAAAGTGGCGCAACCAAAAAACTATAATTAGCACACGATCGTTCATGTCCGCATATGTTCTCTATTTTCTGTCTTATCTGTGCCTGAAGCTCGCTACTGCGGAGCTCATCACCTGTGCTGTGGTGATGTCACCTCACGCAGCATCGAAAACGCGCTCTGCGCTTTTCGGTCAGGAGATCCCTTTGACCTGCTCAAAAGTAACTGATGAGGTGAAAAGGTAAGAATCCAGGCAACAGATTTTCTGGAGAATTAAGAGGAGATGCAGGAAGATGAGAGACAGACAGGACAGGAAAATAGTTCAATAAAAACAAGAAAACAAAACAAAGTGTTGAAAAGTAAAATGTAGGTAGAGTTATCTCCACTACACGTTAGTAAAAAACAATAAGTTATACACATGTCATAATTATACATCTGATACAATTCAGATCACCTTCAAAACTCAGTCACACACCCAGGGCCGTTTCAAGACATTTTGGGGGCCAAGGCAAAATGCCCCCCCCCCCCCCAATAACTGGGCTCCCCAGAAGCCTCTGTGTAATTCATGCCCTCTCCAGTAGTGTTAGTTATATGGTGTTTATAAAAGCCCCTCAGACATTACTGACATGTTCTAATATTATCAGATGAAAAACTAAATTATCAGACATGCTGTCTCATCTGCTTCTTTTTTAAACTTGCAAAAAGTAACAAAACCATTTGAAAGCCACTATTTGTGGATTCTCTGAAAGTTTCCATGGAGTGTGTGACAACTTATTTTTTCATTGATCCTATCGTCTAATCTCACAGCTGAAACAAGCATCCTTAATCATCTGTGCACAGGAAGCGTACCGATGCTGTAGTAAAACAAAAGGTATAATAATTTATTATTAATAAAACCTTGTTGCAGCACTAAAGCAGAAAAATTAGATTTTGCATTAAATATGCAAAATATTTACATATGAATTGTTTTAGAGCCCTTTAATTGGCAGAATCTGATATTAATTTAGTTCTTACAAAAAATGGGTCCCAACATGGTTTGTGTGGCGTTGCCATAGTGTGACGTCATAGGCACAGATCCCCTGTCCTCTTGTTTGGAAATGGAAATATGGTCACCCTACATTAAACAAACTGTCCACCCGGGCTTTTGCACTGCACAGAGACGCTTCGCTGCCTACGACTGAACGTCAGTTCAGAGTCAGTCTTATGCAGACTGACCAATGAAGAGAGGGCCTCAAGTTAAGACCCTCTCCTCATTGGTCAGTCCACACGAGGTGGGTCAAAGGTTACTCTGGGCGGGTTACGTGTTGTCAGGCATTCAAGTATTGAGTATATTTACTGCATATTACAGTAAAATATTCTGTATGTGACCACATTATGGTGATCCTTGGGTCGTGATGATGGAGCCCTTGAATATTGTTGCCCAGGGTACAACAAAGTGTTAATCTGGCCCTGGTTCCGCCGTCACATTCCCGCAGAAACTGGTTGATCACACCGGGGCCAGACTACTAGCATGTGGTTTTACAACCACAATGTCCTCAGAAGCAAAAACGCTTTTAAAAGGGAGGGAGGAGTCCTAACTGTTGCTGCAGGCGTGTTGTGTGAGAGTGCAGTTATATACTGGTTAATATATTTTTGGGTTCAGTTGCTTTCATGTGGCCTAATGTGAGTCTATTTGGGATCATTGGAATGATCAGCAGCATTTCTTGATGTGACTTTATGGCAGTTGCCCAGGGCATCATCGCAAGGAGGATGGCATTCATTTACTTTTGTTTTATTTGGTATTTTTTCAGTCATTTTTGGAAATAGTGATCAATTTTGATTAATTCACAGCCTATGTTTAATTACATTTAAAATAAATGTCAACAGATGAGATCAAACAAAACAGATGAGAATTGCCCTTAAGCTGTTTAACTTGGACCAAGCATTTTAGGTCACAGATAGATGTAGCTTAGGGTCTCTGTCTGTACACCTTATAAGACAATTTAGGTGATGGCATGTTGTTTTTCTGCTATTGAACTGTTTTCTAATAATGTTGTGTTAAATAAAGTGAAGGGAGAGAAATAACGTTTCCCTAGCTGTTTTTAAAAATTTCCCCATGTAATCCGATTAATCGATTAATCGTGTCGAGACCCCATCCGATTAATCGATTATCCAAATAATCGTTTGTTGCAGCCCTACTTGAAATGCAGGTGGCGGCGGCGCTTCCATCCATCCATCCTTTTTCATCCGCTTATCTGGAGTCGGGTCGCAGGGGCAGTAGCCTAAGGCTAGAGGCCCATACTTCCCTCTCCCCAGCCACTTGGGCCAGCTCCTCCGGGGGAGTCCCAAGGCATTCCCTGGCCAGATGAGAGACATAGTCCCTCCACTGTGCCCTGGGTCTACCTTTAGGTCTCTTCACAGTTGGACATGCCCGGAAAACCTCACCAGGGAGGCGTCCAGGAGGCATCCTGACCAGATGCCCGAGTCACCTCAACTGGCTCCTCTCGATGTGGAGGAGCAGCGGGTCTACTCCGAGCCCCTCCCGAATGACCTAGCTTCTCATCCTATCTCTGAAGGAGAGCCCAGCCACTCTTCTGAGAAAACTCATTTCGGCCGCTTGTATCCGCGACCTCGTTTTTTCGGTCACTACCCAAAGCTCATGACCATAGGTGAGGGTAGGAACATAGATCGACCGGTAAATCGAGAGCTTCGCCTTCAGACTCAGCTCTCTCTTCACCACGACAGACCGGTACAACGCCCGCATCACTGCAGATGCAGCACCAATCCGCCTATCGATCTCACAGTCCAGTTTTCCCTCACTCGTGAACAAGACCCCGAGATACTTAAACTCCTCCACTTGGGGCAGGACCTCATCCCTGACCCGGAGAAGGCATTCTACCCTTTTCCGAATCAAGACCATAGTCTCAGATTTAGAAGAGTTGATTCTCATCCCAGCTGCTTCACACTCGGCTGCAAACCGCTCCAGCAAAAGCTGAAGATCACGTTCTGATGATGCCAACAGGACCACATCATCTGCAAAAAGCAGAGACCTGATCCTCAGGCCACCAAAACGTATGCCCTCCTCACCTTGGCTGCGTCTAGAAATCCTGTCCATAAAGGTTATGAACAGAATCGGTGACAAAGGGCAGCCTTGGTGGAGTTCAACTCTCCCTGGGAACGAGCCCGACTTACTGCCGGCAATGCGGACCAAGCTCTGACACTGGTCATACAGCCCATATCAGAGGGCCTGGTACCCCATACTCCCGGAGTACCCCCCACAGGGCCCCCGAGGGACGCGGTCAAACGCCTTCTCCAAATCCACAAAACACATGTGGACTGGTTGGGCAAATTCCCACGCACGCCCCAGGATGCCCCTAAGGGTATAGAGCTGGTCCAGCGTTCCACGGCCAGGACAAAAACCACATTGCTCCTCCTGAATCTGAGGTTCAACAATCCGACGGACCCTCCTCTCCAGAACCCCTGAATAGACCTTACCAGGAAGGCTCAGGAGTGTGATCCCCCTGTAGTTGGAACACACCCTGCAGTCAACCTTTCTAAATAAGGGGACCACCACCCCGGTCTGCCAGTCCAGTGGGACTGCCCCCGATGTCCACGCGATATTGCAGAGCCGTGTCAGCCAACACAGCCCCACAACATCCAGAGCCTTAAGGAACTCCAGGCGGATCCCACCCCCGGAGCCTTGCCACAGAGGAGCTTTTTAACCAGCTCAGTGACCTCAGCACCAGAGATTTGAGAGGCCAATTCAAAGTCCCCAGACTCTCCTTTATCTGGTGACAAGGTCTTGTGCAGTGCTTTGTTGTTTGGAGGCCAGACAGATGGGGTGTTTGTGTCTGCAAATTAAGTTAATTTCTGTTCATTTTGATGAAATACTTGACCTTTGGGTACTCTATACATCATTGCAGAGGGGTGCACTTGATTTTGGAATGACCCAACTCATGAAAGTGTATTTGATTTTGCATCAAGGTGTTGAATGACTGCAGCATGCCGTTATGTCTGCCTGGTTGTGTCTAATCTACTTTTATTACATAATCACATTAGAAATAATGACAATTATATCTGAACATTCTTTCCTTGTCTCTGTAAAAGTGGATAAATGAAAGGAATTTCAGGATTGTCTTGATTTATTTTAGATTAGGCAGGCCACACTTTGGCAAATGTTTTTGAATTTTTGGATGAAATTTAAAGATTATTTCAATATCTGGTTTCAAGATTCAAACACCAATAATCTTTCACAAATGTTATTGAATTTTTTTGTTAATTGAGCACAATTTTGTTATGAGGATGAAGATTTGTCACATGGTCATGACTGAAGCCAACAATATGTTACCGTCACACTTTATCAATATGACAAAGGTCATGTTTGGTACATGGCTCCCTATAATGTTAGATCTGCACAATGTTTTTTTCTCATTTTGTCAAATGAAATTGGATTTTTCATAGAAATTAACAGTTTTTAGAATAAAGTGTCTATTATTCTTCCAGGTTCTCCAGGCATTACCTTAGGATGACTATCCCACATGTGTCAGTACCAGCCAGAGCAAGCTCTCAGGCTGGAAACCCACTAAGGTGGGATCTTTCGCCAGATGACATCAGGACCAAAACGGGCATTCTGATTTCCAGAATAAAGAAGGTCTACGATGATGTTGGATCAATAAACATTGAAAATGTCTCAGCTGAAAACACACTGAAGGCTTTGGCTGATGCAAAGCTGGATTATGCATGTGAGTCAAAAGGATAAGTATGATTAATTTTATTTGTTCAGGAAATCATGAAAAATCCCCAACAATTAATTACTGACAAACTGAACTCTCTGGTTGGTTACAGCACAATTTATGTCTAAACTGTTAAAATTATATCAAAGAGTAGCTGGTTCCTTCATTGCCGGAAAACATGTTTTAATTCATTAGACATTTAGCTATGAGTAAATAAAACATCCAGTTTGTTAAGGTTGCATCTCCGGATTTATTCTTTAATCCAAACAAAGGTTGAAATGGGGCCGATCAAAAAAGGCGTGACTTAAAGTATCTTTCTGGACTTTTCCCCTTTCAGAAATGATGTACAATTTTTCAGAAATCTGTAAAAGTTATCGTCTTATCATGTACTGTGATATAATGTAAGCAATACATCTTTTTTAATTTGTTTTTTTGTTTTAAGTATCAGGCGTGACATTAAAAGCAAACGCTTTGATGCTCCACCTGAGTATAAATCTATAAGGCTTGTCACCAGCATTCAGACATCAATTCTGCTTGCTTCACAGCCAGACAGGACACGGTAAAAAAAAAAAAAGAACCCCCCCCCCCCCCCCCCCCCCCCCCCCCGCCTTGCAGAGCTTCGTGCAATAGGAAACTAGAACTAACCAATAGCGTTTGACTACCACTTACATGCTTCAAATGTAAGAACGTAGCTCGGCTGATGCGGAGATGATGAACTTTTCTGGACAAGTAAGTCTCTAAAATATAAAAATGAGAACACAACATGACATGGGAATAATACGTGTAAAACGTGTTTTACAGAAGGACATAAATACGAAACGTGAAGGCGCCATCTTAAAAAACCGAAAGAGAAATCATTTGTGCGATATGCTTTTCAGCCACTAGATGGTGCCATCGGATTCGAGAAGTACTCCGAAAAGAGACTTTTATATGAAAGGGGAAGAAAAGCATCACATGTTGGTAAATTCCAGTCATCAATTAATATTAATAGGCACACTTGGCAGTTTAGGCTTGCCTTTAGCACCCCCTAGTGTCCATTTAGTAGAACAAAAAGCGAAACTTTCGTTCGTCATTTTAATGCGGATCGTTTTGCTGCCGTCCGTGAGAGCGGAGGTGGTGGTGGGGACCATTTTTTTGCCCTGCGACATCTGTGGTGAAACGTTTCGATTCTGTGGGTCCTTGGGGGGGTGGGGGGTGGAATCTTGTAGGCGTGGCGCTGGAATTTCAGCTGTGGTGCAACGCCACGCCTGAGCCTATTTAGCGTTAGCAATGAGTGGCAAACATAGTAGCACATTCTGCTTAGTCAGTGGCCTTTTTTCTGACTCTGGAAAAAAAAGACATGGATAAGGAGGCAGGCAACAAGGCGGAACACTCTAGACCAATTGGTGACTCTGCTTCCTAGCCAATCATTGGCTGGCCAAACTCGGTAATTTGGATTTGTAGTAGAGAGCTGAGTAAAAATTTTTAACTGTTAATGTATCAACCAATCTACATTCCAACTCTCGTCTATGGTCATGTCTTAGCTGTGGCTAATGCCTAAAAGAATGAGATTGTTAGTACAAAGAGCTGAATTGGATTTCCTCCACTTAGTGACTGGACTCACTCAATGGGATAGGGTGTGAAGCTCAGCCATTGAAGAGGAGCTTATAGTAGGGTTACGGCTCTTCCACATCGAAATTGAGGTGTTCTGGGCATCTGATAATGATACCTTCCATCTGAGATGTTCCAGATATGCCCACTGGGGCAGACTCTGGATTCACTGGAGATTGTGTCTCACATTTGGCTTGGGAATGCTTTGGAGTCTCTTGGGATAAGCTGGAGAAGGTAGTTGGAGAGAGGGAGGTGTGGGAGGAATGTCTAGGGATCTCCACTGAAGCTGTTGCCCTCACAGTCCTGGTCCATGGAAAAAGCAGGAAGTGAACAGATCCATTAGTCTGTGATCTTTTCATGGGAATTTTTGAGAAAATGCATGCATTGAAAAATAAAATCTATTGTGAAGAATTATAGATGTCCGGCTCATTTTATGCTTATTCTGCTCACCTAGCATCACGCCACATCCTTGACTTCCCCCAGTATGTTTGCCCCAACAAAGAGGTTCGATTAGCAAGCACAGAGGCAGACAAGAAGCTGTCTGAGTTTGACGTGGACCTCAGCATGCGGGAGGACGTGTTCAGACGACTTACTGTCCTACAGGTACGTGCCTCGTTTGCAGTCACTTGATTACACATCACTCAGGTGAGCTGGCCGTTGATTAGATCTAAATATCATCTAAATATTTTGGATGTGATAAGCGGTGCCAAATAAATTCTACATATTTATTTCCTGTATTGCTGGATAACTTGACAATATATTTGTATGGTTTATGTTTTTACAGACCAAGCTTGAAGACAATCTTTCACCTGAAGAAAAAAGATTCTTAGACAGACTGGTTAGACTGGGCCAGAGGAAAGGTTTGCACCTTTCTAAAGACAAGCAGGAGGTAATGCAGCAATAGGTGTGACTGGATTTACTATTGCATCGGTCACCTGATCGATCGAGATGGATACTACACTGTTCCTGTTGAATTGCACTACCATGTCTACTGATGGACTGAGGCATGGACGTAGTTTTGACTTTAGAAGTGGGGGGGACACAACCAGCATGAGGACCAAGGGGGATCACAGCAGTAAGTATACAAAAACATCTATACAATTACAGCCTAGAGAGGCTCTTTTATGCAATGCCAGGAATGCAGAACTGCATGCAGAAAAGTGAGCACATCCTGTTTACAACACGGAGTGACAGCAGGAACGGCCAATCACACGTTGGCATGTCGTGTGCCCGTCCCATTTACCGGTTCCTTTAAAACCCAGTTCCGTTAGAACTTATGAGACGGTGCATCCATCAGGGTTCGGGGGTGTATCGACGAGTATAATCGTACCAGACCCGGGTTTGGACTACCTAATTAGAATCTTGTCTTTTATTTTAAAGGTGAAATGACTTGCACGAATAGCCAGCCTCAGAGTGCTACACTTCTTTTAAACTCGTTACCTTTTGGTTAAGATACTAGAGAGAAGTCTGGAGGCAAGCCAAGCCTCTCAGCAATTGTTTGGGCTACCCGGAATTAATTGCGCCTCTAACAGCTTATGTGGGGGGTTGGTAACTATAAAATGATTTATGCTAGTTGATCAGGCTAACATAAGTTTATCAATTTATTTATTAATCCAACCTTCCAGCTGATTAGAGACTTTTTCAACCTGCAATCAGAGCCAAAATAACCTCGAATATTTTGCTTTTATCACCCTTAAGACAACTCGTTACTCGCAAGGGGAGAGAAATTAAAACTTCCCTTATCTTAAGGTTTCTTTATATTATTCTGTTATAAACTGTAAAGTAAGTCCTGATAATTCAGAGACCGATCTTCGACATGCTTACCTCTGTGCAATTATGGCCAGGGCTCCAAACGTGAAGCTTTAGAGAAAACCTGAAAGAATCAGGATTATGTTTCTTTTTCAAAAAAGGTTTATTACAAAATCAAAATACAAAAATGGGTAAAGTAAAAAACAACTGCTATCCCCCACGGAGGAATTAGTTCAAAATGATTAAATAAGAGTCAGTTTACACCAGCTCCTGTCTTCTCAGAATCTCCCCAAGAACTGAAGAACAAGACCCCTGCTCGATCTGAGCTGCATCCTTTTATATCATTTCTGAGACTGCTCTAAACAATGCAAGAGGCACAAGTCATTCTCTCCTGACAGTTTAGGTCAAGGGGTCATTCACCAGATACACTTTTTTAGCTCTACATAAGACATTTAGTATCATTTCACTACATGCAGTATTCACATGAGGGCACAAAAGTTACATTCTGCACTCCTGGAATGAGAGCACAGGTCATAAATCTTCATATTGGTAGCAAATTGTAGATCTTCTTTCAGCATTCCTGAGAGCTCCTGGGTCCAGCTGGACTTCTCCTCACTCCATGCCATTCCTTCTTTTCCCGCCAGAGGTGGAGTTAGGGGCGGGCCCAGGGGTGTGTCCATGGGTGGATCTAGAGAAGACAGCTTGTCTTTTGACCCTTTGCCTAGTTCTGTCCTCACCAGCAAGTCCTGAACTCCTGTCCTCTTGACCCTTGTGTGACCCTTGTCTCTGACCACTGTTTCTAAGCCTTGACTGGTTGCTCGGGCTTGCAACATCCCCCATGAGGACGAACTGAGGCAAAGGACCATAAAAAGATAGAGCAGCAATGCAAGCTTTCATAAATCTAGCATCCATCTCACTCAGGAACGGCTGAACACTCAGACACCTAACTGTGGCCTCCACATCAACCCTCATTCTCATCATAATGCCATCATCAGCTACGGGTAAGCACAAGGTCCCTTTGCGGGTTGTTACATAACCTTTAAACTGCTTTCTCCCATCTGTGGGATCTTCGCCCAGAAAGAATAAAGATAAATCCATCACCGGAGCCTCTCCACGCGGAAGCGATCCCATCATTTGAGGTGGGAAGCTGGCGCTGAAAACCAAAACATGATTTTTCGTATCCAACAAAGGTGCGGTCCCAAAAGAGTCACAGACTTCTGGGCCGAACCATCCAGTCTTTACAGACAAAATATTCATAAACTGAAAGCAATCTATAATCTTGCCTTGACAAACAAAGTAACACCCCTTCTGGGATTTAATCCTCCATCTCATTTCTCTCCCTGGTGCAATTCGGACAGGGGAAGGAATGCCTGCTGGCTCACTACTTAGACAGACCATAGGGATTTCACGTATCACATCAGGACACGGGATGCATGTCGAAGCTGCCGTCATTACTGATACAACCTCTTCAGCCACGTCAGATGAGGGCGCCGTTGTCAGCTCCTCGTCGTGGGCCTGCTCAAGCAGGGCATCTACTCCCGGGGAGGACAACATTAGTATGTCGTCTTCCTGATCAGTCTCCCGCTTGAATCCCTTTTCCATTTGGTTTGGATGTACTGAATAAACCTGCAAGACACGCAGCGTTTATTCATCGTAGCATGTTCACACTGGAGCCCGATTGTCTTAGTCTGAGGCAATCCATCCCTCCCGCGATTCACGGTGCACAAATAGTATGCGCCATTCAGAGAGAAAACAGTTGATGGACCTGCGGAGGGGATTAATCCCTCTATGATATTCTGCCGAATCGAGTCCATCTGGAAGGAACATAAAATATGTTCCACATGAGATATATAACTCATTCCATGAAGCAATAAGTAACTGCATTACTGCATAAACACTTCTTAATTATAGGAGAAAATAAATCATCAGAAGCTGCAGGAAGAACCACACTACAATTCCTATCTGCAGGCATAGTTTTACAACAATAATCCTCACAACAAGTGTACACCAGTTATGAAATGTCTACAACATCCTAAAGACAAACTGGATAAAATAGTTACAAAATCCTGACATACCTCCAGATTCAGAGCGTCAATCAGCTCATTTTCAGGGTGAGTTTGATGAGCCATTGGTTCACTTCAAGTTACAGACTGACAGTTAAGGAGCAAGTGACACGCGGTGCAGAGAGGCCTGCACTTAAACAGGAGCAACAAGAAGGGGGGCTAATACTCCCTCTACCTTGACACCTCTCTTCCCATCTTATCTGGATCTACCAGGTCCTTTCTCCTTTCTCCTAACAGCTTTCTTCCTGTCAACTGCCATTTGTTGTTTTTACAGGCCAAAATCATACCGATTATTAAAATAATCACCCCACACATTAATCCGAGAGCGCAGAGAGGCCAGAACAGAGCGTCCCAGACAGGCCTAATGATGTGCTCTCTCACTCCTTTTACCAACATGCCCATTGAATCAGAAGTTCCTTGAATTACATTGTTAGAAACCTGCACTACACTGTCACTCATAATTTCATTCACACCACGTACTATCAGACTCACATGACGTAATGTGCCATTTATGCCATATGCAAAATAATCAAACCAGTCAGCTTTTTGCTGATCTAACGATCTTCGAAATGGTGAGCAAAAACCACTTCTCAGATCCCAATTTGGGAAATTTCTGAAGTTAGGGAACTCTTTGGGTGCATCAGGGTCAATTGTGAATCTTTCAGGTTGAGGATTTTTCCCTATTCTAGGTTCATTAAAACACACATGATGGTCTATGCCTAACCTGTTAAGGTAATTGAAATTGACCAGACTAAACGCTCCCCACTTCGTCGTTCCTGGCGCTGTAAATCCAGGTGGCACTAAGTCTCCAACTTTATCATTCATAATCATTATACGATCTAAAAGACCATTTCCTGTTTTTGTATCATTTACTTCCCAAGTATTTGTTTTATCAATAGAAAACCAATTTGTTTTAACTCGGAGTTGACCATGTTCCATCACAAGAGTTTTAGTTCCCACTAATTTTCTTTCAAAGGTTTCTGCTTCAATCCTTGTGTCCTGGGGGTAATAATCATATTTTTGCTTATTATATCCCTCTCCATACCAGTATGTCATAGGATATGTCTCGTACATTCCTTTTCTATAATATCTATAATCTTCTGGAATATCTCTTTGCATATAACCACGTAAGACTTTATAGCATAATTCTCCAGTTCCTAAAGTAGCTATGTTTAGATAAGGAGGCCTAGGTTTAAAAAACTCTCGATCTCCTAATGTGTCTGGACGCAGACCTCCGACTGTTAATCCATATAGTTGTGAATACCAAAAAATACACATCCTTCTAGTTAACCCTTTAGTATTATTACAGACTTCCACCTGACATCCTTCAAGCATTAAGGTGTAATTTCTAGCCCATGTGGGACTGTGATAAAAATCTTTCTTATGGGTTGGTCTAATCATTTCATTTACTGCTTCGAAGATGGAGTCTGCCTCAATTATACTATCAGGAGTAGCTGTACCTTTTTGATAATATGCTCCTGCGATCCTTATTCTAAGTGGCTCGCCTCCTTGCCATACAGCGCTGTTATTCGCTTTCCTGGTTAAACAGAGTCTAGTTTCCTCATTCCATGCATGAAATCCTGTATCTAAGTTAGTGGGATCAGATTGATCCTTTTTCATCCATTGCACTACTTTTGGGTGTTTAAAATTAGGAACCTCATAAACCCATTCTGTATAAAGAGTGTGTCTTATTGGATGCAGTTCCCATCCTTGAGGCTGAAGGCCTACCTCATTATGGAGGCAGAAAAATGTCCAGTTAAAATATGTACTATTAGTGGGAAGTATATAATTCTGATATCCTGTATAATTTGCATATTCACTATGACCTTTACGTAAGAGTCGAGCTAATTCTGAAGTAGATCTCTTACCCCGCACACCGGGCTCTAGAAAGAGAGGAACGGTCTCTTCACCTTCCTCTGCCTCAGCCAGGGGATCAGACATTGCAGGGGGTACTTTTGATAACCATTTAATCACATTATCTTTTACTTTCTGCCACATGTGACTCTCTCCTATCATGGACAAGGAATCATATTTTAGTGTTGTGTTAGGAGGGGGGGTCGGGCAAACATCTCTTCGT